TTTCTTAAAACAAGACAAAATGTTCTGCTTGTGCAGACTTTTAGATATTTGCACTAGAAACAAGACAAAAAAAAATCTACAGTAAGTAAGAAAAGCATTTTTTGCAGTGTAGCACTTTTACAATGTAGGTTCTGTCAAAGCAGCTTAAAAGTTCACGAAACCTTCGAGTACTTTTTTTGAGATTTTAGCAGATTTGTGTGTGTGTTGAGCATCAGTTAAGACAATGTTAGCACCTGTCAGCTGTAATTGTGGGAAAAACTGGATCATTTTGAGCTTTGTCAAATAATTTCAGCTTTCAGGTTTAAAATTATTTTTGGGGCGGATAAAAATCGGCGACGTAATGCAAAACTGCAAGTGCAAAGATGACGCGTCACTTTCTCATTATTATTCATATTCATAGCTGAGTTTTCTTATCCTATGAGGAGAGCCGGCTTCTTAATTATTTATGACTGCATGTGCTTTCCGAAGGCAAAGCAGACCTGCCAGTGCCAAGCTGTGAGACACAGACCCACGGCACACAGTATTTAGCGGTTAATAAAGGGTCGTATGTGCTTGTTTCCATGATCCACAGGGTTTGTTGCATGTTTTTCCCTGCAATGCTGTCAGGGCCGCCGATACAGCAAAGCTGTTTGTATGCAGCAAGCATTTTTGTCGGGAGAGCAGTACGAGAATTGGAGAATGGTGGACGTTGTCTTTTATCAGGAGTTTGTTCACATTTAGACACAGCGCTGTGCTGCTGTGTTTGCCTAAATGCTCCAGATTACCAACAGGGCTAATGGTTAAAATAGACAGGGCAAGAGACCTGCTGCACTGAGTCTGCATTCAGACCTGGAGATTGAGGAAGAATCCTCATTTATAGTGTTTATGTGAACACGATTATCTTCATAATGATATAAATTGTGGTTGTCTGTATATGAAATTACAAATAACAAATGTAGCGGGGGGATTAAATTACTGTATATTTCTTTGCATTTTACCTTATAAACTCCTCATGGTTTGTGTCTCATTTTGTGAGCCAACTGACAACAGTTGTTCACTCCCCTCCTTCTCCCCTGCTGGCCACGCCCACTCCTTCCCTTTGCTCATGGAGCTCCACCCCCATTATGATGCATCTTTTGAAAAAAAAAAAATCTGATGTAGAGCTGAACCGAAAGTGGGGGGCGTCATGACCCTTTAACATAGAAGTTCTACCAGAAAGAAGCAGATAAATGTTTTGATATTTATCGTGAATTGATGGATAAATGTAAGTTTGTTACTGTCCTTTTATAAAGCCCTTTGGCTTAAGCCTATCTATGTTGTAGAGCTCTGGATGAGCTGGCAGATCCTGCCTAAAGATGAAGGCAGGGTGAAGCCAATCCCTGAGGGGAGACGAGGCCAACCTGGTGGTGGTGGGGAGGATGGAGGGAAGCTTTCGCAACGTCACCTGAGTACAGCAACACAGATTGTTTAGATGGGTTTATATGTACCGCGCTTGGTTGTTATAGGATGACGAGATAACTTTTATAAATGACGTAACATACCAGTCTTCCTGGCAGAACTATTGCTAAAGCTTTAATTTTTAGTAAGTTGAAACAGTGTCAGTCCAGTTTTCAGAGTTGAAGTTCAGTTTAGTTACATGTTTCACTGCTGAAAGTCCAAAGTTTAAAGGGCAAATCCATAAATGTGCAGCCCCAAAAGTCCAAAACCAAGCAAGCCAGAAGTGACAACCACATTCCTGACAGACAATTTTGTGACAGACAAAGGAGACATCCAAAACATGCAGTGCTGGTGGTCCTCCAGGAACGTGGTTGAGAAACACTGATGTAGAGAAAAATTCAACTTGATTGCTGACGTAACTATTGTACATTTTATTCATTTGATTTTTCCAGGGCCAAGTCACAAAAGGTTTATGCGGTCCCACCCGGGCAGCACTTCTACGTGGTTCCACGGGACGCATACGGCTATTTTACTGAGCTGGAGATTTCTGTGACAGCAGCGAATGTCTTTGGAAACACAACCACTGATCCTCTGAAACTCACCCCTTTGAACACAGGTAAACGGGTCATTTAACTGATAAGACTTTAAATGTGAGCTGATGAATATAGGGGTTTTGCTAATATATACACTTACCGGCCACTTTATTAGGTACACCTATGTCTTCAGAACTGCCTTAATCCTTAGTGGCATAGATTCAACAAGGTTCTGGAAATATTACTCAGAGGCTGCGTCCGAAACCGCATACTTCTATACTATGCAATATGTATGCGAGCCGAGTAGTGTGTCTGAATTCATTAAATTCGAAAATCAGTATGCGAGAAGTACCCGGATGACTTATGACTTTCGGCGAGATTCCGGAGTGTGTATTCCATGCACGCTGCGCTATCCCATGATACCCCACGAGGGAACTCATGAATGGGTGTAAAGCGACGCAATTGACGCAGGTAGGTCATGTGACTATGACAAAATGGCGGATGTAGTACGTCCAAACTCCATTCATACTTTTCACATTCTGTAAAGAACGTACTATTCTAACGGCCGAGTAGTACGTTTAAATTCAAATGTAGTACCTACTGAGTAGTACGCGGTTTCGGACGCAGCCTAGAGATTTTGCTCAATGCTGATATGATAGCATCATGTAACGAGTGGTTATTTAAGTACCTGTTGTCTTTCTATCAGATGGAACCAGTTCATTCTCCTCTGACCTCTGGCATCAACAAGGCATTTGCGCCCACAGAACTGCCGTTTTTAAAAATGGCGTTTCCTTTGTTTTTATTATCCTGCTTGTCCACAAGCGAGTGACATGTCTCTGTAAACCAAAAGCAATCAGCTTGGTACCTTTTTTGGTACCACTTCAAAAAGTGTTATGGTACGGTTCTTCTTTAGATACCTTTTGACAGTGGAAACGACCATAAAAGCGTACCGAACCATACCGAATCGTACCACTCAGTGGAAACGGGCTATTACTGCAAATTTAGCAAAAGTGAAATGCACAATATGTCCTCAAGAGGGAGCTAGATCTACGTTACAATTACAATACAATTTAAGGGCTCTATTTTGACGGTCCATGCGCAGAGCGCAAAATGCAGGGCGCAAATGCTTTCAGGCGGTGTCAGGACGCGTTTTTGCTAATTTAAGGACGGGAAATCTGCCTTGCGCCGTGGTTCTAAAAGGGTTGAGTTTATTTTCTTCATAAGTTATAGGTGTGTTTTGAGAATAAACCAATTAGAGTCTCATCTCCCATTCCTTTTAAGAGTCAGCTGCGTCACGCCAAGAGCGCATTCGCTATTTACAGGACGCAAAGTAAGTCTAAGTGGAAAAACTGAGCATTTCACAAACAAACAGTTCACAGTTGACAGTTCTTTAACAGAAAACTGTTAAACAGAACATCTACTGCGTGAGAATGAGGGATAATGGATCTACTTTTACATTCGCTCGTGGATAGGGACACCTTTACGCACAGACATCAATTAGTCTATAAATAAATACTTTTGTTTGTTAAGCGCAAATATTCGTTTCAAAACTATTTCTAAATTCAGTTCTAATTTCCAGCAAACGAATAAATGAATAATAATAGCAAAGTGTGCTCAAAAACCTGAGTTATATCCTAAAACACATGCTGTGCCCCATATGGTCTAAAACATGACAGGTGGGCAAATCTAAGCTTGTTTTTAATAAAACAAATATAAATATGGATATAATAAATAATACTGCTAATAATAATAACATTATACAAAAGCAAATTGTTATGAATGAACTGAAAAAGCCTCCCGAGATGAAGAAGACATAAAAGCAGTGATTTTTCATATTTATGTAGGCTAGAAAATAATATGTTTTTTAATATTTTAATCTTTTATATTTATATTCTATATCTATTCTTATTATATCCTATATATATCCTTAATATTTAATATTTTTCTTATGTAAAGATATTTGCCTATTGCTCTCTTGTGTGTATTAAGCAGTGTGTAAGCGAGGAGTAACTCTGCGCCGGAGTTTAGACCGGGTTTGTTTTGGTCTAATGAAAAATCTATTATAGTTTCTCAAAATAGCAACGCGCCAGCGGTCCGCCTCAGAACGCCTTCCTTTTTAGACCAGAACACCTATGGGCACACAAATGAGCGCTAATGCATTTGCTATTTAAACAGCGTAGCGCAACGCCTCAAAACGACTCTTGCGCCAAGCTGAAACTACCAAAAGACTATTGCGCCGCGTCTTGCGCCACACTGCGCCGGATGTATGATAGGGCCCTAAGTGTGTTGCATTATATTTTAGCCTATTTGATGAGTATTACAGATTCTACACTACACTGTCACTTATACACAATCCTGCATCAGGTAATTAAAAATAAATTAATTAATTAAAAATATTGATCTTCTCTGAATGGAAGAACAAGCCATGAAAGTAGTTATAAAAAGCCCAAAATGTCCATAAAAAAGATGTTGAGTGTTTATTACTGTATTTTATTTCAGTGAAGTTTGATCCTCCAAGTATTACCAGGATTGAAGCTCACAGGTATGGCTGTTTAAAATACAGCTGGAGTCTTTCGGAGACTCAGAAATGGCTGCAGTTGACCTTCATTGTGCAGTTAAGATTGAAAACCGTGAACAACCAGCCAAACAAAGACCTGGTGAGTCAAAGCTAAACACGATGACATCACTTTTCCACAAGGTGAGACTGTCAGTTATCTAAAAAGGTGTCTAAAATGTTTTTATTCTGCTTTAGGTTTATACCTCCAGGCAGTTACAGCTAAATCCGATTGAAGTGTGTAGCCTCCTCCATTGGACAGATTACAGAAGCACAGTGAGAGTGAAATATTATGCAACTAGTGAATGGAGTGAATGGAGTGACCCAAAAACTGCTACAACACTTAATAAGGGTAAGGAATGATTTCAGTATGGCTCCCACATGGGCGATCGTAGATTTAAGCATCTCCAAAATAATTAAAAAAAAAAAAAGTTTAGTTTTTTATCATTTTTAAAGGGCTTGGATTTGACCCCTTTTACAACAAGTAAGATAAGATTTTGGTGTCTCCAGGATAAAGTTTCGGTAAAGTTTCAGCTCAAAATACCCATCAGATTATTTATTAACGCTGCTGAAACACTTTGATTGACATTCTCCCTTTGTACGTGTCTTCAGAGGGGGAAAGCCCCGCCCTCTAGTGACCATCTCTCCCTCATTAGCATAGGACGTTAGTCTTGTTTTTAAATCTGCCACCATGCTGACACAGGGGCATTTGTAGCTCTTTTGAGAGGTGCGCGACGGCCACGCCGAGGACTATGCGTCTTTGATGCAGAAATATTATCAGCCTTTAGCCCTCACGAAGGCTGACACGCACCTCTCAAAAAATGTAAATACACGATGATGCATGGCGACGCATCAGAAGCTCTGTGATTGGTCGCCTTGGTAGCTGTGCTGAGTGTGGGTGGTACTGATGGAGCCCGATGGAGCGAGTGTTTTACAAGTGTCAAGTCACGTGAAGGAGCTCCAGATCGAAACTTTTGTTTTGTGTTTACCTCATGATTAAAGTTGTTGCCCGTCCGCCAGTTCCTGCCTCTGAATGAGCTAGTTTTAGCTACTTATAGCGTTCATAAAAAAAAAATACCAGCAAAGAAACTTGACACAGAGGAACATATAAACCTACTGCCTGCTAGCGTTTTGGAAGTGTTATTGCAGACCAACACAAACAGCACGCAGAAGTCTAGTTGCACGACTACCTGCAAGGCAGGCATCATGGGTCATGCCGATCACTTGACGCAGAATTGTAAACCAGGAGGAGGCTATGGGAGTGAGGCTTATGTGTATGAGTGTGGCCTCCGTTACACACTATACTACAATATGCATTGGCTTTTTTAAAAATAGTTATAAATAATACACTTTAGTATGGTTCAAAAGCTTTATACTATAAATTACTATTGCATTTTAGTTTAATTACAGGTGCGCGGGCAAGTGTAGTGCTTTGAAAGAGTAGAAATGTATGTAATCAACGCCTAATATCTTGCTATTCACTTTACTGACCCACGAGGGTGTTTAAAACTCTAAATCAAAATTCAAAGCAGTCACGTGGTTATAGTTGAAAATGACGCTTCGGACGTCACTGATCATGTGACGATGGCAAAACGAATCAAGCTCCAGTTCACTGCTTCACTGCGAGATGTATCATTTTTTTTGATACAGTGCACAACGTCACAACACTACATAATAGATCCCCCTTAATTTTAGTGAATTTATATACAATTTTTTTTATACTAAATAACAGCAGGAAAACAAGTTTTCTTCACAGCCTTCTTAACTCAGATCTGTGTTTCAGCTCCAGCAGGCCGTCTGGACACTTGGCTTAAAGTGAACAATCAGACCGCACAACTCTACTGGAAGGTGAGAGTCCTGAAGCAATCTCACAGCAATTTCTAATATTGTGGTGTAATGGCTAAATTGTGTTCATTTGTACAATCTCATCCGTTCAATTTGCTCATCCTCCAAAGAGACGCATGGTTAGGATTTAGGAGCATGCCTCCTTTTAAAAATTGTACATTTAGTTTAGTTTATTTACAAATTGACAGTACAGGGTACTGCAGCACAAATCCCCTGACTAATAAATAAATAAATATTAAAAATACAGGTAAAAACAATAATAAACAAGATAAAAACAATAATTAAAAAACATCAACAATTTATAAGTTATGTAAACAACAATTTTAGAGTACGAAGAATAAAGGAGAGTTCATAACGTTTGGTTTTACTTCTGGGTACAGCAAATGTCTGATGTCGCCGAAGACATTAAGATGACTTGGGCAGGAAACAATGCAGTGGTGATAAACAGTCATTATTTTAGTGAGAGTACGTAGAGTGGCTTCCTCACGAATTTCACTCAGTGTTGGAAAAGTTGAAGTTGGAATACCTATTATGGGACAGCATTGCTTTTGGATCATCTCTTAACTCCTCAGAGATACTTTAAGGTAGTCATACTCAAGAACTGGCCGTATAAAAGTCAAGTACACTTGCATTAGAACATCACAAGGAAGACCTGTTTTTTTTGGCTTTGCAAAGATAGTGTACACTCACCGGCCACTTTAATAGGTACACCATCTGCTCAATAAACCAAATATCTAATCAGCCAATCACATGGCACCTACTCAATGCAGTTAGGCATGTAGACATGGTCAAGACGATCTGCTGTAGTTCAAACTGAGCATCAGAATGGGAAAGAAAGGGGATTTAAGTGACGTTAAACGTGGCATGGTTGTTGTTGCCAAACAGGCTGGTCCGAGTATTTAGATACTGCCGATCTACTGGGATTTTCACGCACAACCATCTCTAGGGTTTACAGAGAATGGTCTGAAATAGAGAAAATATCCAGTGAGCGGCAGTTCTGTGGGCGAAAATGCCTTATTGATGCCAGAGGTCAGAGGAGAATGACCAGACTGGTTCCAGCTAATAGAAAAGCAACAGTGACTCAAATAACCACGTTACAACTGAGGTCTGCAGAAGAGCATCTCTGAATGCACAGCACGTCCAACTTTGAAGCAGATAGGCTACAGCAGCAGAAGACCACACCGATACTAGTAAGGTGTACCTAATAAAGTGGCCAGTGAGGGTGTTCTGTGATGCACCTTCGAAATCATTTACCTAACATGTGTGTCTCAAGAAAGATCAGAGGACATATACACACCCAGCAATTTAAAGACGGAAATGTTCACGCCAATGAACTTACGATTGAATTTATACAAATTAGTCACTTTTCTGACAAAACGTAAAATAGATGAATGCAGTCTCGAGACAAATAATCCACCGCTGAAGTGTTTAAAAATGGCATGTAAAACTCTTTCACTTCTCTTTCATCTTATTTTAGCCCTCACAGCAGTTCCGTGCCAATGGCCAGAATTTATCATACAGCGTGGACTCAAAGGACACTAAAAAGAGACTGTGTGTTACAACAGAAACCTACTGCTTTTTCAGTCTCACCAAGTGGGATAAAAAGATCTCCCTGAGAGCCAGGAATGAAGTGGGATTCTCTGATCATAATGAAGTACCAGTAGCAGTGCACAGGAACAAAGGTATTACATTCCCATTCAGACCGTCAGAATTATGGCTCTTCTGATAGCAGATGTGATTGTTTGCTGACCTCTTGTTGTCTTGTTTTAGGCTTGGAGCCTGTGTCTAACTTCAGCGTTCATCCTCAATCCAACACGTCTCTGCATGTGATCTGGAAAAGCCCAGCGTTCTCCAATGTCACTTCATATGTGCTGGAGTGGAGATCTCTGTGCGGGACCACAGCAGCTCCACTGTCCTTCACACTGATTCACAAAAACAAGAGCAATACTACACTCACAGGTATTCATTGTGACTTTTCATTCAGTATCTTTATTCTGTTTACACTATATATTATTATTTCTATGATGACGAGAGAGCTTAATGTACTGCAATTTAACAAAAACACTAACATCACTTACAAATGCAAGTAAACCTCTATGGCATGAATTTTTGTTTTAGGAGGAAACAATATTTCACCCTAATTTGTGGGTGCTTGGGGGTCCCTTATAATAAATCAATCATAAAATGTGGTCCCCCCCAGCCTCCCACCAGATTCTGGTTAGTTGCCCCAGGGCAACAACGTGCAGTTAGGGTGCTAAAACACCAAGGTTTTCTGTGTATTATTATATATGAAAATTAAGTACAAACAAGCCATAAATACATTAGATAAAGGTCTAATTAAACATAAACAATATCAACAAGGAATATTTGTTGATTGAGGGCAAATCAGCGCTGTTTAAGGACATGCTCGACAATGCTCAAATGTTAGCGGGAATTAGACGTTTTAAAGTTTCAGTATTGACTGGTATCGAATTCCAGTATGTATATATTTATTTATTTTTTTCAAACAGGGCTATAAAGTTTTGCATTTAGTTTTTTCTTAATAATAAAAACCTTCATTTGAATTCTGCATGATGTATTTACCTGCGTTATCCGTGACTAATACATTTAATTAGTTTAGTGATCTGAAACATTAAAGTGTGACAAACACACACACACACACATGTATGTATATATATATATATATATACACACACACATATATGTATACATATATAAACATACATATATACATACATACATATATATATATATATATATATATACATATATATACACACACACACATATACATATATGTATCATTGGCTTGTGTGTGTGTATGTATATATATATATATATATATATATGTATGTATTAATCCTTACCAAGGATACATATATATACACACACACACATATACATATATGTATCATTGGCTTGTGTGTGTGTATATATATATATATATATATATATATATATATAGTCTTGGTAAGGATCAATACATTAAAAACTGATGTCAGATTAGCTACTTATTATAGTGAATAAAAAAGTTCTGTTGATCCCATTTGGTTTACTTTATATCATTGGCTTGTAACAAATCTTGACATATGCTCAAACATTTTTTTTAAATTGCTTATAATCTTACTTGAAGTAAATATAGTAAGTTATTGTTTAATCCTTTCTATATTATAGTTTTTTCTTCACATTTATTTATGTTTTTTATTGAACATTTCAGGATTAGAGCCTTCCAAGCCCTACGAGATCTCGATTTATCCCAGATACGTGAAGGGGATCGGACGTCCTGTGACTGTACTGGCTTACAGCAGTGAGAAAGGTAGCCTGCTTTTAGGGGATTACTTCATACAGGACACAGCAGCTGGATCTTGATACAATACTTCCATCTAGTGGACACAGTCTTTCCTTGGTATACAGTTGATGAAGAATTATTCACCCTCCTGTCAATGTTTGTTTTCTTTTTCAAATATTTCCCAAATGATGTTTAACAGAGCAAGGAATTTTTCACGGTATATCCTATAATTTTCCTTCTCGAGAAAGTCTTATTTGTTTTGAACGAATTACAAAGAGAAATTTTAAATTACTTTGGATTGTGACCTGGTAAGACAGAGAAACAAATAGAAGAAAAACCCAAATAGCAACAGGACACATTAAAACAATTTGTGACCACTTCATATAGCCTAATTTTGTTTGGTATAATTTGTATCTTTATTTTAATGTATTTTTGTTGGTCAGTTTTCTACAAAACAAAAAGAATGAATGCATTTTAGGTGAACTGAGATGCAAATAATAATTTTTGGCCTTAAGAGAATTATTAATTAAATTCAAGTAGTTATTTCAATTCATTATTATAACATCAAATATAGTATTTCTGACAGTTTTCTTTATAATTTGGGTTATGAATTACAGTATCGCAATACTGCTTAGTATCATGATACTTCAGCTGGTATAGTATCGTAAGATTAATTAATGCTATCACGACTACCCTAATTAGATTTTAATTAGAGTTATTAAAACTATTATGTTCAGAAATGTGTTGAAAAAAATCTGCTTTCTGTTAAACAGAAATCGGAGAAAATAATATACAGGGGGGCTTATAATTCAGGAGTGCTAATAATTCTGTCTTCACTTGTATAATGTTAACAAAATCTTGATTATTTTTTTTTATCCCAGCACCCTCTGATGCTCCAGAGCTGAATTATGAGGAGATCAGTCGTTCACACCTCAAATTTCACTGGGGCCAAATCCCCCTCGAAAAGAGAAATGGGATCATCCAAGGATATAGGTTTTACTTCTGGCACAATAAGAACGAAATCAAAGGTATTTGAGGATTTAAAGTTGAAGTATGATGATTGGCTGGACGATGTTTTTATTAACTATGATGTTTGTGAACCGTTTTCAGAGATAATGACTACGGAGACCAGCGTTGAGGTGAAGGATCTTCAACCACACACTAAATATCATGCCCTTTTATCCATTTGTACCAAGGGCGGATGTGTTAACGGATCATTTTCGACCCTGACAACTGAACGTTTGGGTGAATATTATGATTATTCTACTTTTTAATATAATCAAGGGACATTAAAGATGAGCGGCGGCACTGTCGCCTCGCAGCAAGAAGGTCACTGGTTTGAGTCCCAGCTGGGTCAGTTAGCTTCTCTATGTGTAGAGTTTGCATGTTCTCCTCATGTTGGCGTGGGTTTCCTCCGGGTGCTCCAGTTTTCCCCACAGTCCAAACACATGCGCTATAGTAAATTGCATAAACTAAATTGGCCGTAGTGTATGAGTGTGTTGTGTATGAGTGTGTATCGGTGTTTCCTAGTACTGGGTTGCGGCTGGAATGGCATCCACTTTGTAAAACATATGCTGGAATAGTTGGCGGTTCATTCCACTGTGGTGACCCCATATAAATAAGGGAATAAGTCGAAGACAAATTAATGAATGTTGAATTTTAAACAACCTTCTGTTCAATATTTAAACTAAATAAGAACAGTTTCCACAAAAGGGGTGACGCAGTTGCACAGTAGGTAGTGCTGTTGCCTCACAGCAAGAAGGTTGCTGGTTTTAGCCTTAGTGGATCAGTTGGCGTTTCTGTGTGGAGTTTGCATGTTCTCCCTGCGTTCGCGACAGTTTCCTCCGGGAGCTCCGGTTTCAAAGTCCAAAGACATGCGGTACAGGTGAATTGGGTAGGCTAAATTGTCTGTTATGTGAATGAGTGTGTATGGATGTTTCCCAGAGATGGGTTGCAGCTGGAAGGGCATCCGCTGCATAAAAACTGATGCTGGATAAGTTCAAGGTTCATTCCGCTGTGGCGACCCCAGATTAATAAAGGGACTAAGCCGAAAAGAAAATGAATGAATGAATGAATGAAATCGTTGTCTTTTCAATTATAATTACAAAGCATTTTTCTTTTCAATTTCTTTCTGATTCTGATAGGTAGCATCAGATTTGATTTCTGTATTATGACAAAGAAGACTAAACTTTCAATCATTCATTCATTTTCTTATTGGCTTAGTCCCTTTATTAATCTGGGGTCGCCACAGTGAAATGAACTGCCAACCTATCCAGCATGTTTTTACGCGGCGAATGCCCTTCCAGGCGCAACCCAACACTGGGAAACACCCATACACTTTAGCATTCCCAATTCCCATTCCCATCTCTCAAACCAGCGACCTTCTTGCTGTGAGGCGATTGTGCAACCCTCTGCGCCACCGTGACGCCCAAGATTAAACATTATAAACATGGTTTTAATTAAATGAGTATCATTTGATAATCTGATGTTTATCCTTCTTTGTCAAATGACGCTTCAAAAACCATTGTATCATAGGATATGTTCTGTTTTATGCAGAATTGTTTCATTTTATAGCAATAATAATTATAATAAAATCTTAATTTAATAAAAAAAATGAAATGTATAAGAAATTAAGAAGAAAAATTCACCAAGGTTGTAGTATAAATATATACACTACCTGAAAAAGAGTCTTTTCATCGCCTTGACTCCTAGTTGATTATTTGGAAAAGTGGCAGAAGGTGGATTTCTCTGATGAATCATCTGTTGAACTGCATCCAAATCATCACAAATACTGCAGAAGACCTACTGGAACCCACACGGACCCAAGATTCTCACAGAAATCAGTCAAGTTTGGTGAAGGAATAATCATGGTTTGGGGTTACATTCAGTATGGGGGTGTGCAAGAGATCTGCAGAGTCAAACAAACCACAGGAGAGGGACAATTCTCCAGCAGGATAGCGCTCCTCATACTTCAGCCTCCACATCAAAGCTCCTGAAAGCAAAGAAGGTCAAGGTGCTCCAAGATTGGCCAGCCCAGTCACCAGACATGAACATTATTGAGCATGTCTGGGGTAAGATGAAGGAGGAGGCATTGAAGATTAACCCAAAGAATCTTGATGAACTCTGGGAGTCCTGCTGAACGCTTTCTTTGCCATTCCAGATGACTTTATTAATAGGTGATTTGAGTCATGTCAGAGATGTATGGATGCAGTCCTCCAAGCTCATGATGGAGTCAGACACAATATTCATTCTGTCTCCACTGCAGCCTGACTTTATATTCTATACTGGACATTATTTCTGTTAATGACAAAACTTTTTTCTAAGCAGTCAGACCTTACTGTCCTGATTAAATCATTAAAAAAATCAAGGCATGATCATAATTTATTTTAGTAAAATACGCATAATCTAGAGGCCTTTCCCTGTCATATAAGCCACTTCTGATACTAAATGATCAACTAGAATCAAGTTATTATTTGTTGTTCCTAAAACTCGATAATATATATAGATAAGGAGTGTGTATAGTCAGACACTTACTATTATCACTGCTTTGACAAACTGAAAATGTTTTTCAGATGGAATTGAGATGGTGATATTTGTTATCCCAGCATGCATTGGTGCATCTCTCCTCGTCATCATTATTGTGTTTACCTGTTTTGGGAAACAAGAACGGTGAGTTTTACATTCAGTGTAATCACAGTTAATTAAAGAGAAACCCCACATCACAGTAAATAAAACGCAAGATTGTTTTTGTTGTAAAGCATACGCCAATGATCTCATTTACAACTTTTCTATAGTGTGCTAGTAATATACTTTGGCTTCTCATAGGGTGAAGATGTGTTTGTGGCCTATAATTCCCGATCCGGCCAACAGCAGTATTAAGAGGTGGACGACTACAGACTCACTACAGGTATAATTATCTGCTTTTGTTAAGAGACCTATCATGCCTCTTTTTATGATATAAAATAAGTCACTGATGCCCCTAGAGTATGTAAAGTTTAGCTCAAAATACACCACTAATAATGTTTATAACTCTCTGAAACTGACTCTTTTAAGCTTTGATCCTAATTATGTCATTTTGGTGACTGTCGCTTTAAATTCAAATGAGATTGTGTTCTTTTCAAAAGAGGGCGGAGCTACAAATGCCTGTGTGTCAGCTTAGTGGCAGATTCAAAAGCAAGACTAACGTCAAATGCTAATGAAGGAGTGATGATCACTAGTGGGCGGGGCTTTCCCTCTCTGATGACATGTAAAAGGAGGATGTCAATCAAAGTGTTTCTGCAGACTGTTTATATCTCGCGTGATAAGGAATATAATTCATGTTTACTAATAGAAGCTGCTTATATTCACACACTGCTGACACACAACTGTGTTTAAACCAGTTCTAAAGGTGACTGGTAAATAGTTCCCCTTTAAAATACGAGTATACTTTGGTGCTTACAAGAAAAAAAAGAGACTTCTAGCTTCAGTTGAGGACATGCATGAGGGCATATCACATAAAGTTATTTATCTTAAGTTTTAACTAGAGGGAGGCTCGAATTAAGATCGCTCTCTTTCTTAAATAATCGTGCAGCTCTAATTTGGCCTACTGCAGTACGATGTTTGAAGTCTTTTAATAAGCATGATATGTACACGATAGAGAGGATAAAAGTTTATTGTTTGCTTGGAAGTTTGTTAGACGGAAGTTGTCCAATGATAAACGGGAAACATTTCCAAACAATGATGTAACTCGCGGCTGAACTATCCTAGTACGATGCATCGTTTGAGAAATGAATGATGCAGTGATGAGTGTTTCCCAAAACCCGTAGTTTCTCTGTCGCAGATCCATCGCTTAAACCACGTTAGTTATAACGTAAAACGCCTATAATGATGCTCTAAATGGGGCGGAGAAACTACTTATTTAGAGAAAACCTCATAGTTTATCTGTGTAAATTATATCGTTTTACACGCACACGCACTTAAAAAAAAATCCAATATTAGTTTTGGTAAAAACGTGCACTCGCTTTCCATATTAAATGAAATATATGCAAATGGCACATATAGGGCGTGTGTTTCCTTTACAGATATTATTGAGAACATTACATATTCTTTTCTAAAACATCAAATCACTTGATCATCTAAACACGTATTCTAATCTCATATATAAATCATATAAATAAATAATGAGATATGAAATGTATTATGTATTAGGAAATGAAAAAAAAATCCTACTTTAATGATAATATTAATGATGATGATGATGATAATTATTAAGTAGGATATTGTTTATTTATTTTTAGAAAAGTCTACTTTTACATTTTGACACATGTAAAACACTGCAGAAATGTACTAACCATCAGGCCGTTATCATATACAGTACAGATACTTAATAAATAACCTATTCTAAATTAAAAACATTAACATATGCTATATTTTTTGCTTTGGATATGTAACGTAAATTCCACTTTTAAATATTAGGTCACCTATAGCTTTTGTTGTGAGCCACGGCTGTGTTCAAAATGACATCACTGTTTTCTAAGTGCACTGTGAAGGGGGCAATCGTAAACATGAAGATCGCTAAAACTGAACTGTAAAAATACTTTGAAAGCAAATTACAGCTAAGAGAGATGACCTTAATGCTTTATTTAATAATTCCAAGTTTAAATGTTAGAATGTTCTAAATGAATAGGGCATAGGGGGGATAAGTGGCAATAGAACACAGCCAGGAACTGTTTCTAACTACAGCTCTAGAGGTGTAGTTTCAAGCATACGTTTGTAACTCAGTTTGCAAATGTTTGTTGAAGTGACGGATTTGGGGAAACAGCAATTCAACAAACAATGTTTGTAACGACGGAACTTGCGACCTTAGTTGGCTAACGATAGTTTTCAGAAACACACCCCTCTTTGTTGTTATGCGGTGAACTCAGCCAATTGCGTAATTACGGTGTCGTCATCACAGCTCCTGCAGTCCCGCTTCAGATTCTGCACCAGCTGAATTGATCGTCTCATCTTGGACCGATGTCGCAGTACTTTGATGCCGCATGTTATAGTCACATGACGTCAGCGCAGTGTCGCCGGACAAAATTTCTAACCGGCATGCACCACTTTAAGACAGATTCCGATCGGTCTGCGCAGCTCTGCATGAAGTCGACCGCACCTGTTGAGAGTGTGAAGTGTCCAACATTCCACACTTATTTTTACCAGTTAAATAAGTGCATCATCTAGGTATTTAAAGTGCACTTACTAGTAAATAAAAAGGATATTTCAGTGTGAACGCACTACTTACACTATTTATACTAAAAACTGGCGTAGATAGCGCATAAGTATTGGATTTGGTACGTACCTAATCATCTTTTTTTGTTGTCGTTGTTGTCCAAGGGCTTGCCTGCATTTAAAGAAGACAAGGACCCAGTGCTGGTGTATCTGTCCCACCTGAGTCTCCTCGATATGACTGAGAAAGAGCCTTTTAAGAGCGGCTACGTGAAGGAGAACCAGTGGCCAGACGATCTGAACATCCACGCTGATACTCAGAGCTGCGACCTGGAGCTGGAGCGGGAATCTGTGCCGTACGCCACTGTACTTTTCAGCACTCCGTATCAGATCAATTCCTCCAATCCTCCAGCTTATGTGCGCTCTGAGTCCACACAGCCGCTGTTAGCAGGAGACGAGCCGGGCAGTCCTCCACCGCCATATGAGAACGTGCCCAGAGGTGGCGCTGTTTCTGCACTGAACCGCTTCTCTGCATTCTCTCAGTCCACTCAAAGCGAGGAGAGCGACGAACTCTGGGAGGAATTTCCCATGCTCAGATCTTTGGAGGTCAATCACATCTAAACTCGCATTCATCCAATCCTACGGTGGCTGAGAGAGCTTAAAGCAGTGTTTCCCCAACCCGGTTCCTGAAGGCACACCAACAGTACACATTCAAACACTCCCTAATCAAACACACCTGAATCAACTCATCAGAACATTAGAAGAGACTTCAAAACCTGAAGTTAATGGATCAGACAAGGGAGACATCCAAAATATGTACTGTTGGTGTGCCTTCAGGAACAGGGTTGGGAAACACTGCTTTAGACCCATATATAGGCCAAAGGGTTTATGTACCTCTTGAGTTGAAAAGAAACTCAACGGTCAAGTAAAAGGTCAAAAGTCAGTGGGGTCACTTTAGAGCAGAGAGTGGCTGAGAGAGCTTAAAGCAGTGTTTCCCAACCCTGTTCCTGAAGGCACACCAACAGTACACATTTTAAACCAATCAAACACCTAATCAAACACACCTCAATCAACTCATCAGAACATTAGAAGACTCCAAAACCTGAAGTTCATAGGTCAGATAAGGGAGACATTGAAAATATGTACTGTTGGTGTGCCTTCAGGAACAAGGTTGGGAAACACTGCTTTAAACCCATATATGTGTCAAAGGGTTACTGTATCTCCATAAGTGAAAAGAAACTCAAAGGTCAAGGAAGATACAGATAGTTAGAAGTCAGTGGGGTTACTTTAGAGCAGTGTTTTCCAACCCTGTTCCTAAAGGCACACCAACAGTACACATTTTTAACCTCTCCCTAATCAAACACGCCTCAATCAACTCAACAGAACATTAGAAGAGACTCCAAAAGTTCATAGGTCAGATAAGGGAGACATTGAAAACATGTACTGTTGGTGTGCCTTCAGGAACAGGGTTGGGAAACACTGCTCTAAAGTGACCCGACTGAATTCTGACTTTCTGTATCTTTCTTGACCATCGCATTTCTTTTCAACAATGGGGTTACATTAACACTTTGATGCATATATGGGTCTAAAGCAGTGTTTCCCAACCATGAAGGCACACCAACAGTACACATTTTCAACCTCTTCCTAATCAAACACACCTGAATCAACTCATCAGAACATTAGAAGAGACTCCAAAACCTAAAGTTCATATGTCAGATAAGGGAGACATCCAAAATATGTACTGTTGGTGTGCCTTCAGGAACAGGGTTGGGAAACACTGCTTTAAACCCATATATGCATTAAAGGATTAATGAAACTCCATAGTTGAAAAGAAACACAATGGTCAAGTAAGATACAGTAAGTCAGAAATCAGTGGGGTCACTCTAGAGCAGTTTCCCAACCCTGTTCCTGAAGGCACACCAACAGTACACATTTTCAACCTCTCCCTAATCAAACACACCTCAATCAACTCATCAGAACATTGGAAGACACTCCAAAACCTGAAGTTTATGGGTCAGATAAGGGAGACTTCCAAAATATGTACTGTTGGTGTGCCTTCAGGAACAGGGTTGGGAAAGCACACATGTACAGTACAAATCAAAACTAGCCATATTGATTTTGTTAGCTCTCATTGCTAGTTTGGTGCTGAACAATTCATCTGTGCATGTCATTAAGAAAAAAACAACCGTTTGCCCTTCTAATCTTTACTTGAAATCTGAAAATGCACTTCCTGTTTGTGTTCAGTTAAATCCTCAGATTAGGTCTGTCTGAGGCATTGGGTGTGGCTAACATACTCAACCACGCCCCTTTAGCTGTCCGTTTAGACAACAAACAGAAACGGCGAGGAAGAGGAGTCTGTTATGCTGTAATAATTCTCCCTAAACCCTTTTCCCCATCTTTCTGAACGAAATGCCTACATTACTACATCCATTCAGCTCGCAGTAGCATAAAACAAGCCTGTTTCCTCATTTAATCATTTATTATTTAGTATCATTAATGCAGCTTCTGGTTCATGTGGACTTTAAATGAGAAAAAGTTAGTAGCTCATTCAAATGCGCTGAATTATTATTATGACTACTGTATATCTGGGACTGATAGAAGGATTTTCTTTATAATATTGCAGGTGTCTGAATATAAATGAAGCAAACCACTAGTATTACAATAGTTGGGAGAAAATGGCAGCTTTAATTATGCAAATCTTTTCTTTTATAGATACACAGTATATACAGTTGAAGTCAGAATTATTAGCCCCATTGATATATTTTTTTTCTTTTTTAAATATTTCCCAAACACTGTTTAACAGAGCAAGTAAATTTTCACAGTATGTCTGATAATATTTTTTCTTCTGAAGAGTCTTATTTGTTTTATTTCGGCTAGAATAAAAGCAGTAAAAAAAATTTTAAACCATTTTAAGGTTAATATTATTAGCCCCTTTAAGATATTTTTTTCGATAGTCTACAGAACAAACCATCATTATACAACAACTTGCCTAATTACCCTAACCTGCCTAGTTAACCTAATTTCCCTAGTTAAGCCTTTAAATGTCACTTTAAGCTGTATAGAAGTGTCTTGAAGAATATCTAGTCAAATATTATTTACTGTCATCATGACAAAGAGAGAATAAATCAGTTATTAGAGATGAGTTATTAAAACTATTATGTTTAAAAATGTGTTGAAAAGATCTGCTCTCTGTTAAACAGAAATTGGGGGAAAAAAATAAACAGGGGGGCTAATAATTCTGACTTCAACTGTGTGTGTGTGTGTGTGTGTGTGTGTGTATGTATATATATATATATATATATATATATATATATATATATATACATACACACACATAAAATTTTATTTTAATTTTACATCAGCAAACTCACTGCCTTGTCTTTATGCAAATCAGCTTGCACTAGCTAGAACAAGATGAATAATAAACATGTAATAAAGGGATAGTTCATTCTTCAAAATATCTTCCAGGGTTTCTGCAGGTTTCACCAAATTATTATAAAAGTGTTGCATGACTTATTCGATAAATTTATTCCAAAATGTGTGAAAAATCTAGCAGGAAAAGTAATGTTATAAAGGGTTTAAAAACTATAACAAACTAAATTATGCACAACCGTCTGTCCAGGTCAGCTGTAAATACACGGAGCACTTTTAAACTAATGTTATTGTAAGAAAAATAATTAAACCATTACGGTAAATAGTTAAAATTACCCTTTTAAATAAATGTTTAAAAAGGTTTTATTAAGATGGATTGTTAATCATTGTATGGGCGTTAATGGCCAGATTGGGTAAATTTAAAGGGCACATAGTTTACCTCTTTTTTATGATTTAATATTAGTATTACGGTTGTTCTGAGTGTGCCAGTTTAGGTTCAGTTCAACACACAGGTCAGATGTTTTTATTATAATGTGTTCAAAAGTGTCATGTTGTGGGCGTGTTGCTTTACATGAAAATTAGTTTCAGCTTCCCGCCCAACGTAACAAGGGGGTGGAGCCAAAAGCTCCCACGCTCTGTGTTTGCGACAGACAGGCTGACAGACAGAGGCTGTGTCCGAAACCGCCTACTACTCAGTAGGTGCTGCATTTGAATTTAAACGTACTACTCGGCCGTTAGAAAAGTACGTTCTATACAGTATGAATGTGAAAAGTATGAATGGAATTCAGACGTACTACATCCGGCATTTTGTCATGGTCACGTGACCTACCTGCGTCAGTTGCGTCGCCTCACTTCCATTCATGAATTCTCTCACGGGCATTATGGGATAGCGCAGCATGCATGGGATGCGCACTTCAAAATCTTGCCGGAAGTAGTAAGTCATCCGGGTACTTCTCGCCTACTGATTTTCGAATTCTATGAATTCGGACAAACTACTCGGCTCGCATACTGATTTTAGCGTACTATATAGTATTGAAGTATGCGGTTTCGGACGCAGCCAGAGAGAGAGAAGCTAAGCTAAGCTAAGATTTCCATTCAGCCGTACATGGATGACTCAGGCACAGACCAAGCAGAGAGTACCCAATCATTTGTGTCTCTGTATAGTTTGTATAGTCTCAGTGTAAAAGTGCCGAGCTTATACACCAAGACTAATAACCACACACACTGAAGTAACTTTGACTGAGGCACCGAATGTGCCACTACACGGCACACCAGACACTCAGTTGCGCGGCAGAAACATGAAGTGTCCCGAATCGTCGCGCCACGCATTCCAGAACTCCAAACACAGGCCTCAACCAGGGCAAACACAACGGTGCCGCGAAACCCACGCCCAGAACTCCGAAATGCACTGCGCAACGCAAAAGGTACAAGCAATAATTCCAATTAGAGCGATAATGTGGAGAATATTGATCTTGTGTTGAGCCCAATGAGCCTTTCATCTAAAAGTAGAGCACGGGTGTTCCTTTAGTGATATCGCTTTGACTCACGCGCTGAAAATGGCGGACATGAAACAAGAAACTGAGGATATGATCGTGACGCGAGGCTGTCAATCAATATTGGTGGGCGGGGGTACCGCTCTCCTACGTGAAGTTGCGGTCGGTCTGAAAAACGCTCCAATTGGTCCACTGTTTTTATGTTGTTAGATTGAAAAAAAAAAAGGACTGGGTGTGTTTACATCACCCCAATATGACGGTCTATACACTATATATACACACATGTCTGTCCTAACAGCTTGAAAAGTAGATTTATAGGTGCCCTTAAAGACTTTAGGTGCCCTTTAAGACTTTTTTTATGCCTAAAATTTTGATCTGGACCCATGACCCCGCGGATACGCTGATCTTCTTTTGTGTTCAACAGAATAAACTCAAATAGCTGCTGATGTTATTAATGAAGAGATCATTGATGTTTAATGTTGGAGCTGATTTAATGTTTACTTTTCTGGCTTTACTTTGAATTGCGGTTAATATAAGAGGAGCGCAAACTCTTTCTGTATGTGTGTGAAATGTTTATTGTGTGTGAAATGTTACGTCACTGCATGTACTTGCACTATATCCACCTCTTTTTTTGATAGAATATAATTTGTGGTTGCAATGTTAAAAAGCTCCTCTGGAAGGACAAAATAAAAGTGTTACTTGATTTATTTTGTAAATTTATTTCAAAATGTGTGAAAAATATAGCAGGAAAAATATACTGTGATCTCTGTGTTTACTTAAAGGAATAGGGGAGCGGGAGGCTGGGGGAGATATTAGAAGCGTTCATTTTCAGTCTATATGGACCCAAGAAATGGAGGAAAAAACTAGTGGAGGTTTGACAGGAGCACCCGTGTCTGTTTGACGTGTCATGTGAGCAATACCACAACTGGTCAAAGCTAATTCCATTAAAATCCAGAGCATGTACATTTTCTACCCCATTAAAAGCTTCTTTCTCATTAATAACAAAAGATTTCCTACGTGTTTTTGGCTGTGAAATGTAGTTTGGACAAAGTTGTCAGCGATTCTTCCTATTGTAAAGTCATGCAATGTGAAAGCCCCTGTCGCCGATCCATCTTGCAGTGTAAACAAAGCAGTGACGAAACGCTAGTCCAGATAGTCATGCAGTGTGAAAACATCCGTCACACGACTACTTTGAAAATCATGCAGTCTGAACTCGCCATTAAACGCGTACACATTGCTGAATACACACAGGATGTACAGCAATACACAAATATCTTTACAGATGACAAAGAATTAAAGGATTAAAATATCACATGATTATTTTCTACATAAATATAAACACCACAGCCTTCATGCCTTCTTCACCACAGGCGGCTTCTCAGTTTATTCACGACAACTTGCTTTTGCATAATGTTATTAATATCAGCAGTATTATTAATTATATTCATATTTCTATTTGCTTTATTAAAAACAAGCTTAGATTTGTCCACCTGTCAGGTTTTAGACCATATGAGGCATAAGAACAGGACGTGTGTGTTTTTTTGAGCACACTTCATTATTATTGTTCATTTATTAGTTTGAGATTAGAACTAAATTTAGAAATAGTTTTGAAACAAATCTTTTTGCCTAACAAAAGAAATTAATTATGTGTAGACTAATGGATGTCTTCAGTGGAGTGTACAACACCGTTGCCTTACTCCATGAAGAGAGAAAAAGGCTGAATGGAGGAGGCTCGTTCTTTATAGCTGTGCTGCAGATGCTCTGTTTAACCGTTTTCTCACTAGTGAAGCGCTCAGTTTTTCCACTTACAAAGTTCGTCATGTAAATAGCGAATGCTCCATGATGTCATGCAACTGACTCTTAAAGGGAATGGGAGATGAGACTCTGATTGGTTTAATGCAGGTTATGCTCAAAACACCTAGAACTCATCAAGAGAATAAGCACAACCCTGTTAGACCATGCACAGCAGCGCAGAGCGTATTTTTCCATCCTTAAAATAGCAAAAGTGGATTCACACACATCCTTAATGCTTTTGCGCTTTAGACTTTGTGCCTAGACTGTTAAAATACAGCCCAATATGTTAACAGCATGTGAGCTGAAACAGCTCAGACTAACATTTAGTCAGCGACTAGGCTTGAACCTTGTGAAACCAGGAGTACAAGTCACTATTTAACTCAAACACGATGTTCTTCAGTGAAACATTTAATTATGAAACGACCAATCACCTCTGTTGGAAGCCATTAATTGTCAAATCAATATCACTGGGTTTTACAGTCAAGAGTTTACATCAATAAATAAATATTTAGATCTCAGCTTCGCATTTTATCTAAAGTAGCGTACAACAAACAGCCTGGTCTGCTGGTTTAACACAGAGTGCTGTGCTAGAACAGTTTTCATCCCCTCCCAAAACCGTCATCAGACCCGTGATAGACCTCAGAAATACAGCATTCCACGAGATTCAACAGCACTAGAGGTACAAACCATATTACAGTACATCATCTACACTGTTAAGAAAACAGCATGTGGCAGTCGAATTAGCATTTACAAACAGTGGAGACTGCACTTGTCCTGCATTCAGGTTTACTGCTATGTTATAAATCATTTGCTTCCAACAGTACATCATGTTTTAGTCGCATTGATTTACAGAACGATATTGCTCCAAACCTCTCAAGTCCTTGCAGGATGTCGGTAAACATGTGGACAGCATAATAGATCATCTGTTTTAATGTTGCAGAGTTGTCCTGCTTAAGGCGTCTGTCTTAAACGTCCTAATATTTGAGCCGCTTCTGGAATGAAATGTTAGGATGCGTTTGATTGAACTCTGATTGATGGACTGGTTGTCTTATAGTGCTTCAAGACAATCTGTAAGTGCATTAGTTTTGAGTCTATATGCATTGGATTCCCACAAACAAAGACGACAAGTGTTGCAGCTTCATGAGAGGTTTTCTTTTCATTGGAAAGTGCTTTTTATATATGCATAGAAAAAATCTGCGAGTGTGTGTGTGAGAAATCTGTAACATCGCAATCAAGCCTGAAAAACATGGAGTTCCTCTTCACTGAAGTCCAGCTGTCTGACCAATCTGTGAAAGAATACAATAAGAAAATACATTAATGTTGAAGGTGAGAATCATCTAATAATGCATTTTTAAAATTTACATTTTAATATTTAAATCACCCTTTAAGAGTTTCTTTCCTTGGTTAAACACAAAAGAAGATATTTGGAAGAATGCTGAAAACCAGTAACCATTGACTTCCATTGGTATTTGCTTTTTCTAATCAGCTGATGGTTACATCTTTCCAACATTAATCAAAATATCTTCTTTAATGTTCAACAGGAGAAAGAAACTCAAAGGTTTAAAAACGACCTAAAAGTAAGTAAATAGTGAGTAAATGCTCATTTTAGGTTGAATTATCCTTTTAGTATACTCACTGGCCACTTTATTAGGTACACCTGTCCAACTGTTTGTTAACACAAATTTCTAATCAGCCACATGGCAGCAACTCAATGCATTTAGGCATGTAGACATGGTCAAGACGATCTGCTGCAGTTCAAACCAAGCATCAGAATGGGGATTTAAGTGACTTTGATCGTGGCATGGTTGTTGGTGCCAGACGGGCTGGTCTGAGTATTTCAGAAACTGCTGATCTACTGGGATTTTCACGCACAACCATCTCTAGGGTTTACAGAGAACGGTCTGACAATGAAGAAAAATCCAGTGAGCGGCAGTTCTGTGGGCGCAAATGCCTTGTTGATGCCAGAGGTTTGAGGAAAAGGGCCAGACTGGTTCCAGAAAGGCGACAGTAACTCAAATAAGCACTCGTTACAACCGAGCTCTGCAGAAGAGCATCTCTGAACACACAACACGTCCAACCTTGAGGCAGATGGGCTACAGCAGCAGAAGAGCACACCGGGTGCCGCTCCTGTCAGCTAAGAACAGGAAACTGAGGCTACAATTCACACAGGCTCACCAAAACTGGACAATAGAAGATTGGAGAAACGTTGCCTGCTCTGATGAGTCTCCATTTCTGCTGCCACATTCGAAAAGTAGGATCAGAATTTGACATCAACAGCATGAAAGCATGGATCCATCCTGCCTTGTATCAGCGGTTCAGGCTGGTGGTGGTGGTGTAATGGTGTGGGGGAGATTTTCTTGGCACACTTTGGGTTCATTAGTACCAATTGAGCATCGTGTCAATGCCACAGCCTACCTGAGTATTGTTGCTGACCATGTCCATCCCTTTATGACCACAGTGTACCCATCTCAGACTGGTTTCTTGAACATGACAATGAGTTCACTGTACTTAGATGGCCTCCACGGTCACCAGATTTCAATCCAATAGAGCATGTTTAGGATGTGGTGGAACGGGAGATTCGCAGCATGTATGTGCAGCCGACAAATCTGCTGCAACTTTCCAGTACCTTATTGAATCTCTGCCACGTAGGATTAAGGCAGTTCTGGAAGCAAAAGGGAGTCCAACCCTGTACTAGTAAGGTGTACCTAATAAAGTGGCCGGTGAGTTATGCTTCAAAGATGTAGGTGACTGCTCTCTTTAGTAGATAATTAAAGAATATGTGATGATGATATGATACTGTGGTCTTCAGATAATGCAAAGCAAAGGCTATCAGCAATTTTACAGTCAAAAATAGATTTCCTTAAAGTGTTTAAAGTGTATAATATCTTTTCTTCTGGAGAAAGTCTTATTTGTTTTATTTTGGCTAGAATAAAAGCAGTTTTAATTTTTAAAAATCATTTTAAGGTCAATATTATTAGCCCCCTTAACTCATATTTGTTTTTGATTGTCTAAAGAACAAACCACTGTTATACAATGACTTGCCTAATTACCCTAACCTGCCTAATTAATCAAGTGAAGCCCTTTAATGTCACTTTAAGCTGTATAGAAGTGTCTTGAAGAACATCTAGTCAAATATTATTTACTGTCATCATGGTAAAGATAAAATAAATCAATTATTAGAAATAAGTTATTAAAACTATTATGATTAGAAATGTGTTGTAAAAATCTTTCCATTAAAAAGAAATTGGGGGGGGGGGATGCAGGGGGGCTAATAATTCTGACTTCAACTGTTTAAAAAGAAATGAACTCACTGCACTGCTGACTCTGTAAATCCAGCAGGGCCGCACACGCACACTAAACACTTGGAGTTTTCTGGCCTCTCCAGGAAGTTCTGCAGCATACAAGCATCTATCCGTCCTCTTCTGCCCGTCCACGAGTCTGCAGGCTCTGAGAGAACATGCTGCACCTCAAATCTAACAGAAACAAACACGAGCGTTAGAACGCTAAAGTTCTGCATTGACAGTATCTCCACGTTTAATCAACAAAATTAAGGCTTTTTTTTATTCAAATTGACTCCCCTTTCGTTTTGTTGGGGGCTGTTTTTGCCCCATTGACTTTCTAATATAATAAAATTTTTTGACTACAAGGCCATGACAGTATATAGTCATGCATTCTTGATTGTTGGAGGTTTCCCTTGTTGGGAAAAGTTCAAATGTGTAATTTTTACTGTTGATCTCATTTGGCAGCATTAACCCTTTATTGGGTCCTACTGGGTCCTATCACACACCTGGCAAAATAAGGCGCAAGACCTGTTTGGCGCGATTTGTTGCTATTTTCAGACCAGCGCAACCCTAATTTTCACGTTTTGCACCACTTTGTTTAAATAGCAAATCCATTTGTGCCACTTTGTGGACTCATGGGTGTGCTGGTCTATCACTAGAATAGAGGTGTGTTAAGGCACATTGTTGGCTTGTTGCTATTTTGAGGAACTGAAATAGAGCGCACCATTGACCAACTAAAAGCTGCACTAAATTCCAATGCAGGGCATGTTAGTTATGCACCAAAAATTAAAGGATTTTAATGTTAGAAAAATTATTATTTTCTACATAAGTATAAAAAAAACTTTTTTTAATGCCTAGTTGCAATGCAACTTTTAGTAACAAAAAGTGCAAAAGGGAGCATCAAAATAAAGTCAAACCCAATGAACAGTCACAATATGCAATGTGTTAATGCTACCTTTCCTCTTTTGTACATAATTCATCCAGTTGTGACTGCCAAAGTATGTCTCTCTCCTGCCGGTTGAAGAACATCAGCTTCATTTTTCTAAAAAAAATAAAAATAATAATAATAATAAAATAATAATAATTAGTGTTAGTGTTTATATTATAAAAACATTGGTCCCACTTTATATTAAGTGTCCCTAACTACTATGTACTTACATTAAAAAAATAATAATAAATACAATGTACTTGCTGTGCTTATAATGTATTTGAGAACACTTGTGGTGCTCTTGAGTTGGGATAGGGGTTGGGTTATGGACAGGTTTGGTGGCATGGGTAGGTTTAAGGGTAGGTTAAGGAGTAAGGGAAGGTCAACAGTGTACTTACAAATGTAATCACAAAAGTTAATTACAGATGTAATTACATACATGTATTCAATCAAGCATAAGTACACAGTAAATACATGCATTTACACAATAAGTACATTGTAGCAAACTATTAATTCCTATGTAAGTACATTTTAGTTAAGGCCACTTAATATAAAGTGGGACCAAAACATCTTATATGCAAAAAAACAAACACAAGTATTACTTAATATTCTGTAAGGTTAGAACACCTAGGACTATGCATGTTTTGACTAGGCCTGTCACAATAATCAATATACTGACTTATTGTGCAATACTCAGAGATGAGCTCAATAAGTTTTGTGGTTGACAAATATACTTACAAATCCACAAATAACATTAAAGCCGTTTTACAATGACATTTACATATTAACTTACTGGTGTCAATGTTTACAATTGGACCTAATAGGACATTTAATAGTGCATATACGTAATAGGACATGTACATTTTTTACATCAAATTATAGAACCTAAATAACCATAAGAATGCTACGTAATTTAACGTGTTTATGGCTGTTTACACTATCATGCTGTTATACTGTATAATCATTATATAATCAGTGACATAAAATGATCTCAAAATGACAATAATGTCGCTTATAGCAACAATTTCTGTGACAATATATCACACAACTGTAAAGGAAGCAAAACATGAATTAAACTAGGACAGAAACTGAATGTTTGATTAGATTTTTAATTATTTGTTGTTGTTTTTTTACTTTATCTCTGCAATGACTCAACCTATTAATAAAGCCATCTGGAATGGCAAAGAAAGCGTTCAGCAGGACTCCCAGAGTTCATTAAGAGTCTTTGTGTTCATCTTCAGTGCCTCCTCCTTCATCTTACCCCAGACATGCTCAATAATGTTCATGTCTGGTGACTGGGCTGGCCAATCCTGGAGCAGCTTGACCTTCTTTGCTTTTAGGAGCTTTGATGTGGAGGCTGAAGTATGAGGAGCGCTATCCTGCTGGAGAATTGTCCCTCTCCTGTGGTTTGTAATGTAATGGGCAGCACAAATGTCTTGATACCTCAGGCTGTTGATGTTGATCATCCACTCTGCAGATCTCTCGCACGCCCCCATATTAAATGTAACCTTAAACCATGATTCATCAGAAAAATCCACCTTCTGCCACTTTTCCAAATGATCAACTAGAAGTTATTATTTGTTGCTCTTACAACTGAGATCCATGACAAGACTTTTGTCAGGTATTGTATGTGTTACAGACCTGATCACTGTGAATTCCTGCAGGGCCAGCCGGATGAGACGAGCCATGGGTGTGAATCCTGTGCCCGCTGCTAACATGTAGAGATGAGTGACATCCCGTAGGACTCGCAGAGTAAGGGAGCCTTCAGGGCCTCCTACAGACAGGGACGCTCCTGGAGCAAAAAACATCACATCACACAGTACTATTAACATTACCGCAGTTCATGCTTTTAATGACTATTTTACATGAAAACCATCTAATATTCAATATATATATATATATAAACATTAGGCTTGGGCGGTATCCAAATTTTGACACTGTCAAACCTCCTCCCTATTTTACCCCGGTATCCGGTATTACCGTGCATAATAAAAAAAATATGACGAAAGGCTCAGACAGTGTCACCAAAGTGTTGGCTTGTGCCTAAACCATTCAGAAACTGAATACCGTATATGCGACCTGAGGTTCACGGTCAGCTGTTTGTCTTGTTCGTATTAGAGATCTGCGTGAGACGGACGCACGCACGCACGCACACACAGAGCGAGAGAGAGATGCACAGCACCACGCACTCTCTCTCTCTCGCTCTGTGTGTATGTGTGTGTGTGTGTGTGTGTGTGTGTGTGTGTGTGTGTGTGTGTGTGTGTGTGTGTGTGTGTGCGCGTTTCGGAATAAAGCGCGGGAGCGGTCGGTAACGTAAAAGGGAGCGGTTGCGCGGTATCACTCCCGAGCGATCGAGCATACACGCATCCACATGTGTGTGTGTGTCTCTCTCAATTCACTTCAATTCAATAATTGCTTTATTGGCATGACAAATGTTACAAATGTATTGCCAAAGCAGTTATAAAGTAACATATATAACAAAAACAGTACTAACAGTAAATAGTAGTAGTAGTAAAAAAAGAAAAATGTAATAAATAAATAAATATTTACATATAATAATTAAACAAAATATCAACAATACATCATATTCTATATATCACATTAATATTCAATACATATTATTATTATTATTCAACATATATTATTCATACAAATCAATACAAAAAATAGATCAGAATGAACTGTACATTTAACAATCAACAATTTAGGATAAAACAGTAATAAAAACAATAATAATCAGTATATTAACAATGATTCATTTATAATCATCTATGTGTGTGTGTGTGTCTCTCTCTCTCTCATTCACACACACACACACACACACACACACACACACACACACACACACACACACACATACACACACACACACACACAAACACACACACAAAGAGAGAGCACCAAGCGACACACAGACAGCATGCTCTTATTTACACACACACACAAACTGCAGGTGACTTGGTGCGCGACTCGAAATCTTACCTCGCCTCTCTCTCTCTCTCTCCACACTCACGCATACGCATTTGTAGGGATTAAATAAATATTTATTATTTAATACTTGTCTCCTATTTAAGTGCATTGTTTTTATGACGGTATAACGGTATTGAAACTGACACCGTTGCTATTTTTAGATCTCGCAGTGTACCATATTATCGTATTACCACCCAAGCCTAATATATATATTATTAATTATTATTATTATTATTATTATTATTATTATTATTAATTATATATTATTATTATATATATGTGTGTGTGTGTGTGTGTATATATATATATATAATTTTCTATTTATATATTTTTTAATCGCAAAATTGTCAGCAAATTTCTGGAATTACCACCACAAAATCAGTCATTTTTGTTGCAAAAAAAATACAAAAAAAACTGAAAAACAAGGGGGTCTGCATTAATTAGAAATGAATTAATTTCTAGAAAACTGGAAAATATTTCAATCTCATTTGCTGTGTTGTTTTTCCATCAACAATGTGAACCACAATGAAGAAGTGTTTAGACATTCTCCTCTGAATGCAACCTCGAGCCTTCTGTCCTTCTGGAGATTTGCCAGATTATACTTTTCCTAAATAAAATGCAAGGCAATCCCAGCTTATGCTAAATTGCGAATGCTATACTATGTTGATTTTTCATTCAGCCCTACTTAATTCCCTTCATGTTCACACGCTCTCAACTGGCCAAAACCACAGGTATCGGGACACAGTCACAGTTTCCTTCTTTAAAGAGAAGAAGTACGAACCAATAGGAAGGTTGGCGATGTGCGGGGTCAACACTCCATCCGGATAGACCTTTATCATGAGATGTATGTCTGAGCCCACTTCAGCACTGGACTGTGAGGGAGGTATTAGCATCTGATCCACTGCTGTGTAGGGTTTCACAACATCCGTACCTGCTCATCCAAACACACAAAAATGAAATGAAATTGTCAACTAGCGCTGCACAATATATCGCTTCAGCATTGATATCGCAATGTGAGCATTCGCAATAGTCACATCGCAAGATATGCAGTGTTGATGGTGGATTATAATTCATCGTTTGCATGCATTTTTTTAGGCTTGTGACTGTATGAGGTTTTTAAAAACATTCAGGCATTAGAAATTGTACCAATTGTAACCTTAATATTGATTAGTTGTGTTAAATTATTTATACAACAAAGACTATGTAGTGTTATTTTACATTTGATTATTCAATTAATGTATACCTGAATACTGATCGACTATAAGCTGACCAACGAGCGATCTGCTGATGAATTGACTGATTTAAAATGCTTAATAATGATTAAATTTATTAAATTATTTATACAACAAAGACTATGCAGTGTTATTTTACACTTGCTTATTTAATTAAAGTATATCTGAATACTGTTTGACTATTCTGTTCCATTTCCCGCTAACATTTGAGCGCTTTACACTTGGCTTAACAGCACTTTACATTGGCTGTTTCTCAATTCCAAGAACGCAGAGAACGGACTTGCGTTCTTGTGGAGAGCGGTCTTGCCACGTGTCCTCGGAAGAACGAACTCAGGAGACCGCGAGGGCAGAGAATGCGCCCTTGAGAAATGGGATGCTGCGTTCTTCCTGATGGTCATGTGACCTTTACGTGTTTTAAATGGAAATTATTTAAACATTACAGCACTCATACAACGATTTATTGTTTCCCCCCTCATCAAAATATATACTTTGCATAAAAACATTATAAATATACTCTGCACAATATAAATAAAACAGATTTTAATACGAATTTCAACAAACAAACACCCTTAATGTGTTTATTCCTTTATTAAGATGTTCATGTTAATGTTTACTTTCACCGTTTCATTTAGGGAAACTCCTGAGGTAAATAAGTCATATCTCTGAACCTTATTAATAAATCTAAATAAAATGCTGCGCTTCCCACCTCCAGTCGCAATGACTTCTGGGACTTCCAGAGCGAGTTCGGTGCTCAAGTCTGCATCAGTGCGTCCTCGATATCAAGATCACATCCGGGAAGTTTCACGCGTCCTCCGTACTTGCGGTCTTGAGTATTGGAACTGAGCAGCTGATGATGACGTTGCACGAGAACACGAGGACGCAAGACCGCTGAAGAACGCATATTGAGAAACAGCCATTGTGTTCATGTGCTCAACAGAAATGACTGTGATTGGCTGTGCAGGTCATCAGTTCACCAAACTCACCGCTGTTTACTGAGTGTCACCACAGATACGAAACGACTTTAAGATGCTCCTGTTCAACAGCGCACAAATGTTAGCAGGAAATGGACGCTTTTAAAATGTAAGTATTGACTGCTATCAAATTCCAGTATTGTGACAACACTACAATATATATAGCAGAATAACAAAACATCGCAATGTTCAAATTTTCCAATATTGTGTCAGCTGTTCTTCAATCAGCAGAACAAGTGATGTGTGAAATAGTCACGTATTACCCTGGACAGACGTTTTGAGGTAGACGTGTCTTCCCACAGGAACTTGCATACGTGACCCTGGAGGAAGCTGCAAACGCAAGAGCTGCGTGTTGTGTGTGACGTCTGTTTTCGAAAGCAGCACACACTCCCTGTAGAAGAGCCCTGTGACAAAACAAATGCTATTACACAAAGTATCAAAGGTGCTGTTTGTAGGTTTTTGACTCTTCTAAAGCAAATAAAAAATAGCATGATGTGTCTGCAGATATTTAAGAAACATGGGCATTCTTGTTTACCTGAAAAAACAATGCTGAAGACAGATATTCTGCTTTGAAAATGTGCATTATGTGATGAAACGGCTGTGTTTGTTTTGGTTATTTAACCCGCCCAATGCCAGTTTAGCCAATTATATTTCAGCAGCCCGGGTTGCTTTGTAAAAACTGCATATTTTATTCATTCAGGAAGGGTCTCAAAGCATGCATATGTGACTGAAATGTGACCTCCGGTGGACAGTATGTTACGTCCCGTAACTGTTTTATTTTTGTTTCTATATTGCAGTTTTTCTCCTTTGTTTTCTGATTTCTTTTGTTTACAGATTGATGCCACCTGAGTCCAATCTGCACAGCTAATCTATTGGGCTATAAAGGCTGGCTGCAGCCGACCAGAAGGACCAGATACCAGGGGCTTCTGACTTCTAGTTGTTTCATGTTTATAATGTGAACCAAGTTGCTGGTATGAGTAAGGGCCTACTCACACTATGCCATCCGTACCGTGCCCAGGCCCGTTTCCCGGATCGTTTGAGAAGTGTGAGTGCGCTGAATTGGGCTCAGGCACGGTTCACTTGGCCGGCCCTGGCCCGGTTGGAGGAGGTGGGCCTGAGCGCGGTTCACTTGGGCTTTGGCACGGTACGTTTGTAGTGTGAGTGCAAAACACGCTAAAGCCCGAAACTGAAAGCGAAACGTGACTTTTAAGGGAAGTCTCGATTCACATGGATTTATTAATAATTCTACTGTTCAGTGAACGCAAACTGTCGTAGTTTATTAAAGACCCAAACCCCTCACTGCACGACAGCTGCGCGGCTTCAGCAGACCTCCTCATTCCTGCAGCACGAGAGCAGGATGATTATGAGCGCCAAAAGTGCCGGTTCTGTTCGGCGAAATATCTGACTGCGTGTCACCGCATCCCTAAGGACTGTTTGGCGAGATATGACTGCATGTCACTGCATATTAAATGACTTAAACGATATCACTAGAGAAATCTCCACTGTGCTACTGGGTGAGAGCGCTTCTCACTGAACAGTGCAGAATCGATGACAGAAGCGTGCCCAGGCCCGATTGTGGTGTGAGTGCTTTGGCCCGGTTCGGGGCAACTGTACCTAGTGTGAGTACGGCCTGAGGCGTGGGGTGTCTTTTATTTTAAAACCTTTTTCTCCTGTTTTAGTGGGTAAGCAGGGAGAAATGGAAGTAATATGTATTTGCTTTCTTTTGGAAATGTTTATTTTGTTAGATAAGTTAGTTTGTCTTAAATTAGTTATTGGCTATTTTGTTTGTTATTTTTGGACCCCCATATCCTGAGGTATTATTTTTGTTTTGTATTGTTTCTTTAAAATTTAAGATATATTATTTCATTTGATCAGACAATTAATCAATGGTTGCCTGATGGTGATCAGAATATTAAGAAGGTGTTGACTGTTGATTCTGGGTCTGGAAGCGCTTCTCTCCCATCTTCCTTCATTTGTTCGTTCCTAGCTGTGTTTTTACCTCTAGATTTAAGTGGGAACATAACAAGTAGCAGACTCAGAGTTTGACATGAGGTGGTTATTAATTAGCAAATATTATAAATATTACGAAGGTAAACATTTAGTGTAGGCATGGGCTGGTATAAGATTCTGATGGTATGATAAGCTTGGATAAAAATATCACGGTTTCATAGTATTTTGATTACTGCTCTAATATATGTGCTTTTTAATTGTTTTAAATTATTTTTTCCTCTTTGAACACAATATATGTAATTTTAAGAAATATTTATAGTATTTTGGAGCAGTAAACATGTTGGGCTAAACCATTTAAATTAATCATTGACTTCTGCCGTCTTCGTTAGTTTCGAAAACATAGGTTTCTTTACAATTTGAAATGACATCTTTGGAAATATTTTCTGCTGGAGATACTGCTGGCTTAAAAAAAAAAAAAAGAAAAACATGACTAAAAAATCTTACCCATACCTTAGGAATGGTATAGCAGAAAATGTTGCCGGTTTTAAAACCTTTTTAAAAGCTTTTCCAAACCACAGTATACCTTGAAAGCAGTTATCGTCTCTAATTTCGTGACCAGGTTACAAAGTAATGATGAAGAATCCCTGTTTTACACTGGGTCACAGTATTAAAGTTTAATTTCAAACGATTTTTTTTTTCAAGATCTGAGGTGAAATATCTGCTGCTGCTTTCAGTAGTATGGCAATAAATGTCATGTAAAATGGCATTCAAACTCACATTATTAGCATTTACACTGAATAAAGCACATGAGGTCTATCTGAGGTGATCATTGTCAGTTTTCTGTTGTTCAGCAGCAAGAAAAAGTAAAATAATAAATTTATAAAATTTATAAATAAATAAAATTTATATTTTAGGTGTTGGTTATAACAAAAACTCCTTTTAACATGGAGAATATTCCTTCTATTGCCTGCCATTGCTTTTATAAAGAACACGATTTAAATCAGCCTTTAGGCTCGACTGTCGACTCTCTCCTCTTGGTCCTCATTCTGTCAACCTGCGCTTGCCTAGTTACTTAGTTCAACCACTGGGTGTCAAACTTACATAATGCACCTTTAACTATCCGCTTGTTAAGTGGTGACGTGTTTGTGATGTATGTAATACTGTTTCCGGGTCCAAGCCACCATTCATTTGAGTGGAGAAATCATTGGTTTATGATCACGTTTTATTCCTATCACAAATTAAAGTTAATTTTATATAAAGTCATAGTGTACACAACAATCTCTGGGCTTGCTGCATAACAAATACCAAAAATTTAACAACTTATAAAAGAAATGAATCACTTTCTGGCCATCGGATATTTGGCATGGACATATATACTGCGATCGTGATTTTCGAAAGCATTAAATCACTTTGTAAACGTTTATATATCACCATTTCATGAGTCTCCCCATTCAGTTGAATAGAGCACTTGGACCCAGAAGCCGCTTTGCGTGACGTCACACTTGACAAGCGGATAGTTAAGATTAACTAAACTAACTTAAATAATCTACTGCAATTCGTTTTTATTATGGTGCTTGTTTGATATTGTTGCTAAAAGACACTAAAATGCTCTGACATCAAATCCGGTTTGAAGTATAAAATAAACGCAATGAGAAAGAAGTTATATACGATGCTCAACATATATGAGTTCCCTCTTTTACAAATCTCTTATTTAGATGAATATTTACTATAGGAAGCTTTATAATATTATCATGTGCATATACATTCGATTAGTCAATACTGAAGCCAAATCTGGAGCTCATCTAACAAAACAACTTATGACAACGGTCCAAAATTAGCACACCCAAACTTATGTTAGGAAAAAATATGAAATAAAAAAAACAAATAAGAGCAAAACTCGAGAGAATCAAAAAATGTATAACATTTTGTTGATTTGTAATATTTTTCCAGTATTTCACATGAATTTACATGTATTATCGTTTCTATTTCTAAAGATGTTTGGTGACTAAAATATTATTTTCATAAATATATCAGTTTAATAAATCTGTTTTGTTCAAATGCACCAAAATATATCACCAATATTCACTGAAAAATGGATAAAAATATTCGCCTCACAGCAAGAAGGTTGCTGGTTCGAGCATTAGCTGGGTCAGTCGGCATTTCTGTGTGGAGTTTGCATGTTCTTCCCGCATTCATGTGGGTTTACCCACAGTCCAAAGACATGCACTATTGGTGAATAGGGTAAGCTAAATTGTCCGTAGTGTATGAGTGTGTATGGGAGTTTGCATGTTCTTGAAAAATCAGGTTTGCAACTCACCTCGATCTTTACATTGAATGAATGTGTCATGGTGTTCAAGCGATTGCCCCAACTGCGTCCACTTTTCTTTGACGGATTTGCGCAGGCACAACTGAACCTTTCCAACAGAGTGGGCTGTCTGCACTATTAGTAGAGGAAAACAGAGAAGCACTTATATTATTGATGTGCCTATCCATACAGTTGAAGTCAAAATTATTCGTCCTTTTGTGACTTTGTGTCTTCAAATATTTCCCAAATGATGTTTAACTGAGCAAGAAATTTTTCACAGTATTTCCTATAATATTTTTTTCTTCTTGAGAAAGTCTTATTTGTTTTATTTCGGCTAGAATAGCTGTATAGAAGTGTCTTAAAGAATATCTAGTCTAATATTATTTACTGTCATCATGGCAAAGAGAAAATAAATCAGTGATTAGAAATTAATTATTAAAACTATTATGTTTAGAAATGTGTTGAAGCAATCTTTCCGTTAAACAGAAATTGGGGAAAACATACACAGGAGGGCTAATAATTCTGACTTCAACTACATTTTAAAAGTGATAGTTCACTCAAAAACAAACATTGTCATAATTTACTTAATCTGAACACAGTGGGTTGCTGGCACCCATCGCCTTCAATAATACTTTTTCCTACTATGAGTGCCAGCAACCAGCATTCTTCCAAATATCTTCTTTTTGTGTTCAAAAAAATACTTAAAAATCCCTTAAAAATAACCAAAATAAATAAAGTATTCATGAGCAATATCCCACTTGTAGCAGTGCGATATGGCTGTATATCAGCACAGGTGGGAGGTATATGTTGGTTCGAAACTGCAGGCCAAGTGCTTTAGTGTCCAACCATTGACTATATACAGCCATATTGCACTGCTACGAGTGTGATATTGTGTTTATACAACAGCTCGACGACATAATTGTGTATATAAAAAAGAAAATCAAACACGAGTCTCAAAACCCTTTTGTAAGAGGAACTACTTTCTTCCGCCATTCATTCATATCTGCAGCTGATAGCTACTTCACCAACGTCACTTAAGAGTGACTATTTGAATGATTCTCTAGCGTAATGTCTAAAGTGATGACAAAACAGCTCACATTTTAAGATTATAAGGCTAAACAGCATGAAATGCCATCAATCTAGAGCAGGGGTCACCAATCTCGGTCCTGGAGGGCCGGTGTCCCTGCAGGGTTTAGCTCCAACTTGCCTCAACACACCTGCCTGGATGTTTCAAGTATACCTAGTAAGATTAGCTTGATTAGCTTGTTCAGGTGTGTTTGATTAGGGTTGGAGCTAAAATCTGCAGGACACCGGCCCTCCAGGAACAAGTTTGGTGACCACTGGTGTAGTGACAGTTCCCAGTATTTTCTGTTGTAATCGGGAGATCACAATAATTAACCCTGAAAAAGCCAAAGCAAAGCAAACACCAGCAGATTACTATGGTATAAATACAGCACTACAACATACAAAAAAGAGGGATCGACTAAGAATGTCAGCTAATATACAATGATTTAATCAAGTTACAAGTTTTTCCTCCCCTAAGCACTTATTATGCGCCCTCTATCGCCCTCTTGCGGTGGAACGTCAACTGTCTTTGCTCTGCTCAGTATGACAGGCTGATGGCCATGCACTGTAATATCCTTAAAAATAAACGGCATAGCTGCAATCTAAACAACTAAATTCTTGCCTAAAAAATCCCCAAAAGTACATGATGTTGTCCAACAGCTGCAATATTTGTCAAACTGTAGTGAGTTTATTGATTCGATGTCTCTCTATGTGGGCGGAGTAATACAGAAGGGTGAGATGGCTGTACAGTTATCAGCCAATCAGATTCGAGAACCAGACAGAACTGTTGTATAAATAACAATATTATTAGATGATACAGTTGTACCCCCACAGTGCTTTTCACACACAAGAAGTCTGATCTACTTTGGCAAACTACTCACCATCAACATGATCTTGAACTCTACTGGACAGGCCTGAAACAGAAAGAGTTTAATAAACCTTTAATAAACTTCAGATTTGTCATTTAAAACATTCAGAGTGTTCTGGGAAGGTAAATCTGACCTAAACTTACCCAAAGTAAATCTAATGTAAACTATGTTCAACCTTGTTTAAAAGCACTGATGAAATATGCGCATATTTTAATCAACCATGTATGTCGGATTGAACATAAGCACTAATATTAGGACTTTTTTAACGTGGAAGCACATAAACATAAAAATACAATCTGTATTAGGCAAAATACTATAGATTTTACAAATTATATGTTAAATATACATTAAACAGCACACATATAAAAGGGGCCCAATTCTGAGCCTAGTGGAACACCTTTATTTAGGGAAGGGTGATATGTTATTATCTGCCATTTACAGCTGAAGTCAGAATTTTTCGCCTGTGATTTAAATGTTTAAATATTTCCTAAATTATGTCTAATAGGAAAAGGAAATTTTCACAATATTTCCTATAATATTTTTTCTTCTGGAGAAAGTCTTATTTGTTATATTTCGGCAATAGTAAAAGCAGATATTAATTTTTTAAAAACCATTTTAAGCTCAATATTACTCGCCCCCCTAAGCAATATTTGTTTTCAATTATCTACAGAATGAACCATCGTTATACAATGACTTGCCTAATTAACCTAGTTAAGCTTTTTAATTGTCACTTCAAGCTGAATACCAGTATCTTAAACAATATCTGGTAAAATATTATGTAAGAATGGGTTTTAACCACAGCGGTTCGAACTGTAGTTCTGCCGAATGACTAAAAAGTAACAGTATTAATGGTAAAAAACTGTACATTTCTACTCAAACCATTCTTCTGCAATCTCATACCAAAAACGGAAATAAGGGCAGTATTAATAGCTATAAATGTGGGAGAGCGTTGAAATTATGTGATTGTATTATAATGCAATTTGAAGCAATTAAGTGTTGATGTTAAATCAAAAGCAATTCACAAATACTTGAAAATGAAATGATTTAATGACAATAACTTGCTATGGTTACAACTGATTTAAGTACAAATAACTGTATAAAATGATAAAATATGAAATGATAAGACATATGATATTAATTGTACCCAGCTTAAATGTAAAATTAAAGTTAACAGAGGTAGAAGGAGAGACACAGGTGGAGGGAAAGAGAGAGACAAAGGCTGCGTCCGAAACCGCCTACTACTCAGAAGGTACTACTCGGCCGTTAGAAAAGTACGCTCTATACAGTATGAATATGAAAAGTATGAACTGAATTCGGACGTACTACATCCGCCATTTTGTCATGGTCACGTGACCTACCTGCGTCAGTTGCGTCGCTTTACACCCATTCATGAATTCGATCGCGGGGCATCATGGGATAGCGCTGCAGGCATGGGATGCAAACTCTTGAATCTCACCGGAAGTAGTGAGTCATCCGGGTACTTCTCGCCTACTGATTCTCGAATTCTATGAATTCAGACGTACTACTCGACTCGCATACTGATTTTAGCGTACTATATAGTATGGAAGCATGCGGTTTCGGATGCAGCAAAAGAGAGCAGGCCCAGAAGTTAACCTGATTGCAGTAGTGTCAGAGAAGATAGACTCTAGAGGAGGAGAATAGCAGAGCAGGAGAGAAACAGACCGGGAAAAGACAGGTCAGGAAAAGAGAGAGAGCAGAGTTTTACACCTATTTTGTATCTTTCTTGACCATGTGACTAAAGCCCAAATATTGAGACATTCAAACTGACCAATCAACATGTGACCACATCATAGGGTTGTAACGGTATGAATTTTTTACGGTATGATAATCGTCTAAAACAATACCACGGTTTGACGGTTTCGCGGTATACGGTTACAAATGTTACAAAATAATAGAACAGTGAAGCAAATTTGACTTTTTCCAAATAATATATTTTTAGTTACTATAAACAACACCACTTACAATGAACAAATAAAAATAATAAAATAATAAATAATGTGTCAAAGTCCAAATAAAGTCCAAATAAACATGGTGCAAATCCTCAGTAAAAAATAGATATAAATATTTACTATACTATAAATAGTTACATAACGAAACTAGATTCAATATGGAACATCCTTAGGTTTTATGTGCCAGCATGGATATGGTTGTCTATCGATATGGATTTGGATATGGTTGTCTGCAATGCAGACAAGCAGCTGCATCTTCATTTGCGTCTTTTGAAAACAGCAAGAGCAGCAGTTCGTCTTTGCTGTGTCACTGTTTTGTCATGTTTCTGTGCTGCTGTGCATGCAAAAGTACTTAGTATGAGAATTATTTCATGCAAAACTTTTTTTTTTTTTGCGTTTTATTTAGCCGCGCATAAATGTATGCCTATCTCTCATTCCGTGTTGTTCAAAAAGCTTGGTCCACAAACAAAAGCGAAACCTATGCTTATTGGTTGTGATATAGCGAGTTTGAACCAATCTGGGCATGGAGGAGGGACAATGCATCAATGTATCATGTCTGATTTGTCCGGAGACACAGTGACGAGCGTTTCTTTGTCAAATCAGCGTTGTCAAATGTTGATGACGTAACCGCACTGATTCCGGAGCCTCTGAAAGTCCGCGAATGTTATGTGATACAGCACTGGAAAGCTGAGATTCTCTTCTTTATGCCAATCTTTGAATTGTATGAATCGGATCAGCGGATCAAAAGTTATTAAACATTTAAGAGCAATACTTATTTTTAGCCGCGGGCGGCTGTCTCTGTCTTTAAGGGTTAAAACCGTTGATATGCAATTGTTCATGGTATGATAATCGTGCACGTTCAAATCGTGGTAAACCGTCATACCGGTATATTGTTACAACCCTACCACATCATAAAACCCCCATCAGTATCTGCCTTTGGAGTCAGTATGGACCTTCTTGAGTCAAAAAGACATGTTTTGTCATATAATGCGCATGATAATTCAGCCTCTTACAATTATGTACTGTCACGATGGCAAAGATAAAAGAAATCAGTTATTGGAAATGAGTTATTAAATCTATCATGTTCAGAAATGTGTGTCTAAATGTGTTAAAAATGTGAAATCTTCATTCTGCTAAACAGAAATTGGGGGAAAATATACAGGAGGTAATAATTCAAGAGGGCTAATAATTCTCTACATATACAGTGCTGAAGTCATTGCATACAGAAATTGAAAACACTTGTAAACAATGTATGGCTGGAGAAATGCAGAAAGACTCACGCCAGTAGAGAAGGTACGACATCCTGCCCAACAGCATCTCTACTCTGAGATTATCATCCTGTAGATCCACCACTGCACAGCCGGCGCTGGGAATCTGCGATAACAAAGACACTTGTTTGACATTAATGTTGTTTTAATTACTATTTTTGTTTTCTATTACTTTCTACAAGAGCTGTGCAATATATCGCAAAACTATCATTATCACGATAACAGCATATAAAATGTGTATCTAGCATTTCTGAAAAGATCTCCGTCCACACTATACCGCTGAAAACGCACATCGGGTGACCACACACACATACCCACACAAACACTGTCAATGCACTGCAGTGTATGCATGCATTTGAGCTCAAGCTTTCAGCGGGTGCTTTGCGCACAAAATCCCAGAGAGCAGAAGACGTCGGACAGTTTATCAAGGACGTACCGCTGGATCGCATCTCACTATAGGTGTTAAACGTGATATTTATTCAATCTTGTCTCTATCTAACAACTCTTCAGTCTTTTGAATCTATCACGTAACGCGTCACAGCATCAGTACACTGCTTCAATCTTTCGCTTTTACACTTATACTTAGTAATTTTAGTGTAAACCTCAGATACTGTTGGTTGGATCCTGTTGGTGGTACAGCTTTTTACCAAACAAATTTATTGACGCCATTATATTGACACGGATCACTCTGCCTATTCATGCCAGAGTCCAGTTAGTGTGTAACTTATCTTTATGTATGATTTGGTTATGGGTAAAACTAAGACCAGTAGGTCAGGTAGTTGAAATGGTAGGCTACTCGTAATTAATCTGTTATGAATTAATTAATTATTCATAAATAATTAATTCACCGCTGCCTACGAAGTCGATACCATCATCCATCATGATGTTTTACATTAGGCATCGTGTGATGCCAAATTGGTCAACATCTCCCAACCCTAGCGTGAACCGTTTTTTAGACTGAAAATGTCATTAATTAGATCTGATAAATAACTTTAACCTGTTTATTTTAATATCATTACATAAATAAATTATTTAAAACATAAATAAAACAATAAATTGTCATTTTTCTAGGGGAACTGTTTTGTCGTAAGTCAGTAATCCCCAATCTTTTTATCCCCCTTTTAGACCGGTTAACACCTGACAATTTTACCATGGCCCAATGGGGGAGGGGAATGCACTCAACTGCGTGCACCTGGAAGGTGTGAGCGCATTGTGCCACATGCGCGTCACTCCCAATATGAAAATAAAGATTTGTTTTAAATATCCATTGGCAATAACAAACTTGCACGCAGAAAAGCCGTGATATGTGAACAGCCCCTAGAGTCGCCATCATTTGCGATCTCCGGCAGTTTATCTTCTTGCACAGACATGCTGGATTCACCTGATTTGTTGACAAATGGGTTGTGGCATTCCTTGGCAGTCTCTGTGGGTCCTTCACTGGGTCTTTTACTCTTCCAGTTTCCAAAGAAGTCTGCTTCTTACTCATTTTGCTAGCTTGTGCGTTAAATTTTGGCGCTCAAATGACCGAGATGGGGCATCGCGGTGGCGGAGTGGGTAGCGATGTTGCCTCACAGCTAGAAGGTCGCTGGTTCGAGCCTCAGCTGGCTCAGTTGGCATTTCTGTGGAGTTTGCATGTTCTCCCCGCATTTGTGTGGGTTTCCCCCACAGTCCAAAGACATGCACTATTGGTGAATAGGGTAAGCTAAATTGTCCGAAGTGTATGAGTGTGAATGAGTGTGTATGGGTGTTTCCCAGTGTTGGGTTGCAGCTGGTTGGGCTGCGTAAAACATATGCTGGATGGGTTGGTGTTCATTCCGCTGTGGCGACCCCTGATTAATAAAAGGGACTAAACCAAAAAGAAAATGAATGAATAAATGACCGAGAGGTAACCGGAAAAAAAAAAGATTGTTTTTCAAAATAAAAGACATTTCAAAATAAAAGATAGTTCAGACTTAGATAATTAATAAAATGGAAATAATTAATGATTTCTTGTGTGGCCCGATACCAATTGACCAATGAACTGGTACCGCTCCGCAGCCCGGGGATTGGGGACAACTATCGTAAGAAATGCATTATCAATAGTTTCTACTTCATGAAAATGAGCTACACTGACCTTTCGCTTGGTGTAAACAACAATATTAACAGTGCCATCTGTCTGGAACCAATCATACCTAAAGAGGAAGAAACAAATCACATACAAGAATCAGCCAGCGTCAGTGATACATTTTATTATTTTTGATTTTGATTTAAATATTATATATTATATATATATATATATATATGATATCATTTTAGGTAGTATTTTGACACTTCTGTTATTCAGCAATGTTTAATATTTACAGTAATTTTACTTTTTGGATAAGATTGCAATGATTATAGTTCATTTGATACCAAACCTTTAATTATCATTTATAAGGAATTTATAAAGCATGAATAGTCCTCACTTTAAATTAGGTCACAAAACTAGATGAAGTTGAGTTAATAAAACATTTGTTAACATACATAGTTAACTATTAATATATGCCTAAATAATAAGAATTATAAATGTTGATTTCAATAGTTTATTAATCGTTTACTAACTCATTCTGAATGATCCTTAAAACCCTCAACTACTCTTAAATACAACTGGTTTGTAAATAACGCAATACTTCATTTAGTAATGAAAAATTTATCATTAACAAAGTATGAAAGTACAATTATTAAGCACATTATACATGTGGTTGTAAGTCAAGAATAGAGCATTTGTAGCTGCAGTTATAAACTGCTTACTAACGCTTATTAATGTAGAGTTACTGCCAAACAGATAATGAATTCACTAGATGCTAATGCTCAGTAAATGACTCATATATGTAGTTATTATAAAGTGTTACCAAAAAGGCTCATTTCAAAGCCCTTCACTAGACCTTTACTAAAGATTAAATAGAAACTAAATCAAACAGAGCATTCAGACGTGTGGCAGGCCAGTTTAATTGTTATATTTATGTATACAGATGAAATTGAACCATACCGAGGACGATGGTCTTTGGCAGGAAGAGGAGCAGATAAAGGCTCTGGTCTTAAAGATGGAGGCGCAGATAAACCTAATATGAAGAAAACAATACATATACTTAATAACCAGCAGAGTAAGACATAACATAATTGCTTACTCAGCATTTCCAGTTAAAGTCAGAATTATTCGCCCTCCTGTGAATTTTCAAATATTTTCACAGTATTTGCTATAATATTTTTTTCTTCTGGAGAAATGTCTTATTGGTTTTAGTTTGGCTAGAATAAGAGCAGTTTTTATTTATTTTAATCATTTTAATATTATTAGCCACCTTAAGCAATACTTGTTCTCCATCAAAAAACAATGATTTGCCTAATTACCCTAACGTGCCTAATTAACCTAGTTAAGGCTTTAAATGTCACTTTAAGCTGAATACTAGTTTCTTAATGGGCACCTATAGTGAAAAATCTAATTTCAATTAATATTTCAAGAAGCCGATGTAGCATATCATATCACTTACATTCCCGCATAAAACATGCTTTCTAGTGTGAAAATGTTGCGCAATTTTTATCAAATTCATTAAGCAATGGAAGATCAAGCTGCATGTGCTGTGGCCTTGCTCCACTTAATTTTCCAATGTGTCCATATGTCTGAAATATTCTAAAGCAGCAATACTGTTTTGCATTGTCATATAAGATTCCCGCTTATATATATATATATGTGCATTACTGCACATCAGTAAACCGCCAGTAACTTTTTTATTGTATGCTCCTGTTAGAAATCATTGCAAATAATTGGAAATCCGGCGATTAATAATTAAACCCTTGGGAACAACTGTGATCAAAACCAAAGTTCACGTGACGGTGTTCTCTGGACTCCTCTGAAGCGGTGGACTTCTACATACTAATTGCTTGTCGCCGAACCGCGTCATAGCTCATTACTATAAAGTTGACTTGATTTCAACTCTCCTCGACGCTCACACCGGCAAAGATGCGCCACGCTGCTCCTCGCCACTTATCACCATTAAAAATGATTGATTTCTGGCTACTTTGACGCTCTCGACGCTTCGTGTTAATTCAGGAGGGCTAAGAACTCTGACTTTTATATATTATATATTTTTATTATACTTTTATATATTTAAAATTGCTCATATAGATGACTCTGAGCTTGAGCTCGTACCGTTTAAATGAGTGCTCTCAGTCTTCTCTGTGTGAGCTGCAGAAACCACAGAAGCATGTAATCAGGCTAGTAAACATCAACATTATTTCTTTAAAAATCTGATTTCGGCTTTGGTTCTGAATTTAAAAGAACATTCTGGGTTCATTCGAACTATATCTTCTCTAAAGACGATTTTTTCTTAAAACAAGACTAACAGAATATTTGAGCATGTGTATCACGAGTAAAAATCTTCCAACAAGTTTTATAGTACTAAATAACTCAGTACCTTACTCAGCACAGTACATCATATCCATGAACACTGAGAAGTAGCTCCTCTAACACACTGTTCTTTCATACACTCTCAAAAATAAAGATACACAAGATGTCAATGAAGTGGTGACTTCTCCAAAATGTTCATATTTACCATGAAATACCTTTAAAGAACACAATAATACCAAGAAATGTCAAAAGGTATACTTATTTACTGTTTGGGTACTAATATGCACCTTTAAGGCATCAATTTGGGCCTTTTAGGTACCATTTTAAAGTTTCTAAAGTGTAGAAAGCATGCTATTTTGTTTATTAAAGGCACAATATCAAAGATATCATCATTTTAAATCCCAAAATCACTAGAACATTCATTCATTCATTCATTTTCTTGTCGGCTTAGTCCATTTATTAATCCGGGGTTGCCACAGCGGAATGAACCGCCAACTTATCCAACAAGTTTTTACGCAGAGGATGCCCTTCCAGCCGCAACCTATCACTGGGAAACATCCACAAACACTTTCACACACACACTTGTACACTACGGACAATTTAGCCTACCCAATTCACCTGTACCGCATGTCTTTGGACTGTGGGGGAAACCGGAGCACCCGGAGGAAACCCACGCGAAGGCAGGGAGAACATGCAAACTCCACACAGAAACGCCAACTGAGCCGAGGCTCGAACCAGCGACCCAGCGACCTTCTTGCTGTGAGGCGACAGCACTACCTACTGTGCCACTGCCTCGCCCATCACTAGAACAGTGTTATATATTTTGCTGACTTGTGTACTTAAGTTTCAAATAATATTCAAATTCAAAGAAAAAAGCAATTTTATTTAGAGAGAATGTTCTGTGTGTTTATTTCATCAACGTCACGCATCCTTGATTTCTATTTTAGTTTTCATTTGTTTGTTGTGAATGCACGCCCTCTAGTGGCCAAAATTGCATACTGCTAGAATAGCAAGTTGCATACTGTAGCTGCTTCAATAGGACAAAAAATTTGTCATCCCTAAAGTTACTGATTATTTAATAACATTTAACAACATGAGGCGATTTGGTTGTATGAAAACGATTCCAGATTGCATTTAGCTGAACTGTTTTTTTTTTTTTTGTTTTTTTTTTGCAATTTTAGAACACAGAACATAAAAGGGCAATAACAACATTATATTAACATCCAATCAAGTACAATATAAGAAGAAGAAAACAAACAAAAAAAAAAAAAAACAATAACAATTATTCAAAAAGAAAAATGTAAGGCTTTAAAATAATGAACAGTTCTTTTTACTTTGGTATTTTTTGTTTCTTTTATCGTGCATAGGTAATGACTTATAAAGAAGAGAGTATTGTTCATTTATTTTATGGTTGTATTTATACACAATTGTTTTGGAGTGATCTTTTCTTTTTTATTAAGCAGAGTACGAATACTGCATTGGAATTCAAAGAAAAAGATGTTGTATTTTTTTATGAGAATACAGTTGACTATTTGGAATATTATTAATTTGCTCATTATATATGGAAAATGTTTTATTCATAAATGTAAATGGGCTGTGAAAAAACCTAATTTTACTCAATTTAGCTGAACTCTTGCTCACCTTGTAGAGCAGGGCTGGGCTTTACTGCCATCCTCCCCACCAAACACTCCTTCAGCATGGACTCATAATTCACCCATCGGTGGACCTAGAGTGGACAAACAATCACATATGAATTCATTACAACAGTATTAATATCAAAGCACTCTTATATATTAGTTGATTACATAAATGCATAAAAAGGCTACATTTTAATACTAAGTTCAATAATTGTTCCTGTCATTAAGACATTTTTTGGCCTCTATTTTTGGTTAGGTCAAAAGAAATACTATCTGATGCATGTATATTTACATGCACATTTCAAAGCAAATCTGAGGGGAATCGAAAATGAAAACTGAAATGAAAAAGTGTCAATAAAAGGAAAGCTTAGATTTACATTTTCATTTGAATTGTGTCACTATTATAGCGTGAACATTAATAACACGCTTTGTAAAAACTGTGTTTGCATTTTATTTTTCAGTTTGGCTTTTTATTTTAATATTGGCAGTCTTGAAAATGAAATGTTAAATTGGCAACTTCATTTTAATTATCAATTTGACTCGGACGATGTGTTGTCAAAGTGAAAATGAAAATTAAATAATTCCATTTTGTTTTCAATTTTGGCAGATATTTTGCGAACAGTGTTTTAAAATGAAATTGTTAATCTGATTTTCATTTCCAATGTTTATTTGATTTATTTAAAACTGGCAGGATTTACCTTCCCTAACATATAAGCACAGTACAGTGGTAATGTCCAACATATTTATGATGTTTAAAGCGGCTGATAATAATAAATATTATTAATAATAGGAATTAATCTGCCATGTTTTTGAACTGTACATAGCTGTAGCTTCTTTACTGAGCCTACTACGCTATTGTATTTCAATACGGCTCATTATGGTGGTACTTGGAGAGACAATTGTTTTCTGAAGTGGTACTTGATGAAAAAAGTTTGAGAACCACTATTCTAGTGTTTTTGGCTATTTTAATACATATTGTGCCTTTTATGGCTTTGCTGATGGAGGGTTTACCTCGTCAAACAGGTCAGTGCTATCAATCCCAGCAGCCCGCATTAACTCCTCTTCCCCACCAGGGTGGAAATCCATGTAGGCACTCAAGTTATAGACCATACCTGGAGGGAGAGAAATCCATCACTTAAATACATTCATTCATTTTCCTTCAGTTTAGTCCCCTGTTGTCAGGCATCGCCACAGCGGAATGAACCTCCAACTTATCCAGCATATGTCTTACGCATATGTTTTATCCAGCATATGTTTTACTTCCAGTCGCAACTCATCACTGGGAAACATCCATACACACTTATTGTTGTGCAAGTTACTTCCAAACTGCAATGCATTACAGATTACTTGTTACTGTTGTTTAAAAGTAATCCCTTACCTTACAATAAAGTTTTGTATTGAATTTAAAATATTACTTCTCACCTATAAAGCTACAAATAATCGAGCTCCTGTTTATCAAACCAACCTTCTGTCTCGCTACAATCCAACTCGCTCTTCAAGATCTCAAAACTCAGGGCTTCTGGTACTACCTAGAATAGCAAAGTCTACTAAAGGAGGTCGAGCCTTCTCATTTATGGCTCCTACACTCTGGAATAGCCTTCCTGATAACATCCGAGGCTCAGACACACTCTCTCAGTTCAAAACTAGATTAAAGACCTGTCTGTTTAGTAAAGCATACACTCAGTGCATCACTTAGCCGGTTTCCACACAGGCTTCTGCATCTTGTTTATATACACTATGAGCAGCAGCTACGCTAATTATTCTCTTTATTCTCCATTTCCACCTGGGGATACTCATCCAGAGGTCCTCAGATTATGCGGAGTCACTGATTGATCCAAGACCAGTGATGAGATGATCCCAAGCCTTCCATAATCCGGGACCAGGCCGTATCCTGAGCTGCTGCTGTGCTGATGGTCAAAGGGGAGTGGAGAGCATGAGACTGATTCCAGCGACGCTCCAGGGACAGACGAGTCTTCGCTGAAGCCAGCTTCTAGCCTCCACCGCTGAGACTGCAGCTCTGCACAAGACATTTGGCCAGCGGAGAAATTAAAATGGTCGTGCCCAACTGAGTCTGGTTCTCACAAGTTTTTTTTTTCTTTGCTCTCCCATCAGGTGAAGTTTTTTTCCATCTCCGCTGTCGCCAATGCCTCGCATGGTTCAGGATTGGTAGAGCTACGCATCATTGAATTTGCTCTTCAGTGTTTGAACTCTCAGTAATGATTAAACCACACTGAACTGAGCTAAACTGAACTGAACTTAAACACTAAAAACTGAACTACCCTGATCCAGTTACTATGACCATTTATGTGAAGCTGCTTTGACACAATCAACATTGTAAAAGCGCTACACAAATAAAGCTGAATTGAATTGAAAAAAAAATTGAATAATGTATTCACTGACACTTTCGGACAGTTTAAAGTAAGCTTACTAATGAAAAGAGTTGATAAACTATCAATAACAACACCTCTAATGCACGTCCAGCAGTCTTTTTTGGTGTTGTGTTTCTTCAGCTCGTCTTCTGTGACCTCGATCAGTCGACCTCTCAGTCCTGTTAAATCCTGTCCACTTTTGGTCAGTCGGATCCAGTCCAGCAAACTGTGACCAGGCTTCAGCACCACCTGAATTAAACTGAGGTAAAGTTAGTTTTACATTCAAGCATTCGTTGATTTTTGAACAGTTACAACATGTGACATGCTCCCTATTTAGTTTGGCACGCCACTTTGAGTATTCGACTGAGGTTAAGCTGGCTTTATATTCACACATTCAGACTTTCTTCTTAATAATATACAATAGTTTCAGAAATCTGCTAATTCTAAATAGAAAAATCATATTAGCATCCAGCGACTTTCAAAGTATATTGTTCAGTCAATTAAATAGTGCTAATGTTGTTTCAGACCCAATACTCAAAGTAGGGCTGCTCGATTTTGGGAGAAATCCTAATTGCGATTATTTTGGTCATAATTTTAATCACGATTATTCAAAACGACTATCAGTTGAAGCCACAATTATTAGCGCTCCTGAGAATAAAAACAAATATAAAAAATTCCCAAAAGATGTTTAGCACAGCAAAAATTTTAACAGTATTTCCCCTAATATTTTTTCTTCTAGGCTTATTTGTTTTATTTTAGCTAGAATAAAAGCAGGTTTAAATATTTTAAAACCCATTTTAAGGTCAATATTATTAGCTCCTTAAGCAATATATTTTTGATTGTCTGCAGAAGAAACTACTGTTATACAATATAATATACAATATATAATATTTCCAGGTAATTTAGTTCATTTAATTTGTTTGTTTGTTTGTTTTTTGGCTTGTGATCACTCTAAAGCGATGCTTATTTTAAATTTTAATTTTTCCATAATAAATCTATTTAATTACTCTCAACGGAGTGTCCGAGTTTGGTTGTCGACCGAAGGGGATCTTTTTTTTGTGTTTAGCAAATCCACCACCCATAACACAGTTTTTTTGTTTATTATACCCATGTTGTTTTCCCGTTAGACTTAAGGCGTAAGAACAAGACTTCAAAACATCATTAACACCATTTATTTGACTGCACAATGTTGTACTTTGACAGGCATTGGCTGCTAATATGATTTCTCTATTTAAAATGTGCAAATAATACTTTTGTGAAGTTTCATTATTAAGGAGAAAGTCTGAATGTGCGAAAATTAAACCCACTTTACTTCAATAACTTGTAGCATTGTCCCTATATTGTTTACATTGAGGTAAAGTTGGTTTTATATTGGGATATTCAGACATTCTCCTTAATAATATAATGTAAGTAAAGTATTCTTGCAAATTCTAAATAGAGAAATGATATTAGCAGCCAATCACTATCAAAGTACAATACTGTTCACAGTGAATTAGATAGTGTTAACGTTGTTTAGAGGTCATACTTGCATGCTAATTCCGATCAAATATTCAAAGTAACATGGTAAACAATATAGAGACTGCTAAATGAACAAGTGTGCGAATATAAAACCAACTTTACATGTATGAACCAACCTACCTCAGTCTGAATGTATTACATGGCAGAATAATTACACACAACTGCGTGTCAATACAACTGAATGTTAGGTATTTATCGAGATTAACTCTAAATTTATCAAAACGACAACAGAGAGTAGTGTGGTGTAATTAATTAATAAAGGAATAATAATGTAAACAATGTACGACCTTGTTTCTGGACTGTCCGGCTGGCGCGACTCTCTGCTGGGATCCAGCAGCAGGGAAAGCCTGAGATGGGACATTCAGCATCTCTGATACTTTAAAACAAGCCCAGTTCCCTAAAAATCCTTTCCAAAACACACTCAGTATCAGCAATCAAATGAGAAATGATCAAATAAAGCAAAAACACACCGACCGCGTCTGAACGGGACTACTTTTGAGGAAGTGTCACTGTGGGATGCGTCTTTCTCATTTTGGCAGGTTGATTATTTTAGCTATATGACATTGCTTGACATTGATCTAATTCCTCTGCTTTAACTTTAATATAACTACAATTAAATATATTCAGGAGTAGCGACGATACTGTTGTCAAAATAACGCCGAAAGCAACACTTTCCTAACAGTCAAAAAAAAATGTCGCGGAAACATGACGTCATTCAGATTTCAAAATACAAGACGAGCAAAAAATTAATACGTTAACAAGGAGGGAAAATGTAGAATTAAATACAACTACATTACGTTATTATCTTCTGCAAACTTAATTTAAACAAAAAAATTATAGCGTTTTAACACGTTTTACATGTTTTATTCTGTCTCTTTTTTGTACATGTCTAATATTTTAACAAACATATATAAGATACCAGACATTTTTCACAGCTACACGGAAAAATATCATCAAAAATCAATAATGTAAACTGTGAGATTGATTATGTGTAGAATAAGTTTTGATTTTGTCGTTTTTTCTCTCTCTTAAATAGTTAATTATATCTGCTGGCTCAAAATACAGACGACTTATAAACGGTAGTTATCGTGTTCAAAAACTCACCAGACAAAACACTGGCGATGACAGAAAAGACTGTTGAAGCTTTCCTTCTGCTTTCTGATCTATAATCTTCCTCTTCTTCCTCCTCCAAGTCCATACCATCTTCTTCTACCATTCCAGAGTAAAATATGTCCCTCAATCAACAATCAGATCAAACTAATGCAATGTGTTGTTGTATTCTGAAAGCAGGTGCAGTTAAAATTGATTTTGCCTGAAAGTAATCCCTTTAATCTCGATAATATGAACTAGGCTAGTTGGGATTATATTTAAGGAGTTCAACGAGCCTTCAAAATAAAAGACCCAGCACTTTTTGATAAACGCAATAGATATAAATACACTAGAAATCGCATACGGATGCTGAACATGTCAAGACTTAGACAAAGATTTGTTAAAGATGAACTGTCTTTATGGTTAAGCATCCCTTTTCATATTTTTTAAAGGATGGGAGGAATTTCTTTTCTTCTATTTTGACTTACTAAATTGCCATTTAAAGTGTTACTATATTGGAAAATGTTGTACAATCACAATTTTACTCCACATAATGTTATCATTTGGAATAACAGGTGTATTTTACATAAGAGGAAATCATTTTTTAAAGACTGATTTGACAAATGAGTTTGGAATGTAATTCATTTAATGGATGATGACGGTAATATGTTGAGTAATGATCATTTTAAGTTAAAATTCAATTTTAATTGTGCATATAGAGAATTCTCTTTGGTTGTCAAAGCTATTTCTGTAGCTTTGAGGTATTTAGTTAAAGGTATAGTGCAATGCTCTTCTGTAATACCTACACTAGTTGATTTGGTTATAAATAATTATTCATTTTTGGATATTACATGTAACAACAAGGTCTTGAGATCACTACTGACAAAAGAATATTTTCCTCTTCCTGTTAAAAGAAAAGTTTATCTGAGAGATTTTCTAAAGCGGACACAATTGAAATTAGAAAAAGATACCTGTCATTTCCCTAATTACCTAAAATGAAAGAAGTACTTTTCAAAACAATTAATGACATCTATCCATGTAACAAATTTCTTAGAATTTAATTTAGACAGTAATGCTTGTATTTTCTGCTTGAAAGATATTGAATCCCAGGAACATCTTTTTTTTATAGTTGTTCTATTGTCAAATCCTTTTGGGACAGATTGTTTGAGTGGTTGATAACAAAAAATGTAATACCTGCGTTTGACTATCACATTGTGAAATTTGGCATTTTTATGAAAAACAAGGAAATTTAATTTCTGTGTAATAATATGTTGATTGTAGCAAAACTTCATATCCACAAATGTAGATTTGTTAAAGTTTCTCCTTGTTTCAAAGCATTTAAAATGATTTCAATATTTTATATAAATCTATAAAACAGGTAAAAACAAAAGGTGCCTTAAAGCTAAGCTATGTTATTATTAGTTTGTACTGTTTTGTTTATTATATGCTGCTTGGATATAATTTTATATATGTTTAACAATGGAAGTTGAAAATACTTAGTTGACTATTCAAGGCACCAGAGTGGACAAAAGTCAAGTGAACGCAGAGACTGAGGAAAACACAACCCAAAACCAGCCCTGTTTGAAAAGTGTTTGGCCCTAAACAGAACAACTGGTTGGGTTAAGCTCAGTCAAGCATTTTCAAGCAAGGTATAATTATAATTTAGACCATATATTATTCTCAACACATTTGTATAGGTATTCTTTTTAAATCACACTTGCATTGGTGTAAATTTGAAAATTACTTTAAGTTATATACTGTGTAAAAAAAAAACTTTAAAAACAATTTCAGACAAATGAAGTGTTGCATATTAATATTTATCTAACTTGTTAAATCATTGTTGACAACTACTGTGAGAAATCATTAACATGATCAATGTCTTCACAAAGATCAATATTATGAATTATTAATAATAACATATAATTAAAAGTATGATAAAATGTGTTATTTAATAACTGGTAGCCCTTCACACTAATCAGTACCCAAGAAGTAGCTCCCAGTTTCCAAAAGGCTGGTGACCCCTGATTTAGCCCATATTTTATTCTCAACACATTACTAAAGAGCAGTAATGAAGCTCTTCTCCACTTCAGTTAAAATGGTATTTAACAAGACATCTCACATTTTAGTCTGGTATTATTAACCTGAGCAGAGGCTTGAAATGTTATGGACCTAATGTACGTTAATCTACCAGGGTTAATAACCCAACATCAATTAAAGCCATCTGAAACACAATTTATGAGTCAGGTCAAAGTGTATTATTATTCACTCAATTCACACACAGTCAGTGCGACATCACATTATCAAAGAGAATTCTTAGAGGGAAAAATATTATTAGCATGCTGCAATATTAGCCTATCATATTATCCAACTCGGTGCACCATATTGTAGCTAGCGCTTTAGCAAGTTAGCAGAAAACATATTATTACAATAATCGGGACTAAGAACGGCTGCTTTGGTGACATTTACCTTAAAGAGTATCTCGTATTATAGTGTGATGTAAAACTCGCTAAATTAATCGTCTGTAATGATGTATTTTGATGACTGATCGATCAGTGAATGGATGCATTTTTTAAAATGCGGGTCTCCGCCATGACGTAACTCCGTTGCTGTGGCAACCATGGAGCGCGTTCGGAATTTGAGTTCTACTGACTGTAACCGAGCGAAAAACGCCATTAGTGTGAAAATTGTGTATAGACTAAATGGACGCAGAGTTTCACCGTAGTGAAGAAATCCATACAGTTTTTCGACGCGTTTTTAACACAGTGTGTAAGAAAACAAATATCATGACTAACCTAAATAGAAGAAACGCCGTGATGCCGGCCTCGCTGGACGTCGAACATCTACAAGACCCAGCAGATGGCGTAGCCGGGCAGGCTCAGGCTGAGGGCGGCTTCGGCCCCTCTCCTGCTGCCGCCCGGAGCATCAGCCCTAACGGTAAATGTCGAAAAGAGCATCTTAAACACATTACTGTCACACATAAATACAAACACAGGCTCTATGAGCTGTATAAACTTCACTACAGGGCGTCTTATATGTTTAGTTAACATATTTGAACACATATATAGACTGTAGGTCGTCTTAATGGATGATAAAATACATGTAAACGTCAATTATTCACTATATTGTGAAATATCTTTAATTAATCATGTGTATTTTTATATCTGTGAAACCCAAACTTGAACTTGTTATAGCAAATTTTGATGTTTGTTTAGGGATATGAATGAAGGCCCAAAAGAGGCACAGTGATAGTACTAGTTTTATTTTAAAGTATATTAAGTATAGTATTAAGTATATTAAGTATAGTATTAAGTATAGTGTTTATAAGTATGTCTGTAATGGTCTTGCCCTTGTTAGGTTTAATCATGCTAGGTCCAAACTAACACTGTACCCATCCTTCAAAATCACAGACAGTTTCAATATCAACATTCAAACAAACAAAACTGCAGATATTGTTTTTATCAAACTACATTCAGTCACTTTTGAGGCTTTTTTGGTGAAACACTGTTATTAACAGGTGCTTATTATTATGTACATATACTCATTTCAGACATGTCTTAATAACTTGTTTCTTTGTTTTTGTCTGTTAGTAGGAAAGACCAAAGTGAAGAAGAGCAACCGTGTGTTGTCTTTCTTCAGAAGGGCATGGAAGGCTGTGAAGGCAAAGTTTCGGAGAAACAGAGAAACCAGGGACTCATCACAGCCGAATCCAGAATTACTTGATGTCCCTAATCCCAGAGATCCTGAACGCATTACCCGCCTGCAGGACCACCTGGAAAAATGCGCTCTGAAGTGGACACCGGTCACTGAGGTCTGGCCCAACGTCTTCATAGGAAATGTGTAAGTCTGCAACACACATCACATCTGAAGCGGTCCTGAAATGAGTAACAAATGTTGTGCGGTGCATGATTTAATAAATACTGGTAATAGTTTAAAAAATAAGAGCAAATTTAAATGTCATGGTGACTTTAATACCAATTAAACAGTAATTAATAGTAAAACATACTGCAGCCTTATGAAGACAAATCAAACACAGCTCAGTTGTAGACTGTATTGGGCAATCTGAGCTACTTCTTTAGAGATGAACCCCATTATTTCTCTCACACACACATTTCAGAAAAAAATGCAATATTAATTTTAATCAAAACTAGCTTTGGTTGTGTTCAAAATGACATCAATGTTTTCAAAGTGCACTGTGAAGGGAGCAATTGTAAACATGAAGATCGCTAAAACTGAACTGTAAAAATACTTTGAAAGCAAATTACAGCTAAGAGAGATGACCTTAATGCTTTTTTTAATAATTCCAAGTTTAAATGTTAGAATGTTCTAAATGAATAGGGCATAGGGGGGATAACTGAAAATAGAACACAGCCAGGAACGGTTTCTAGCTACAGCTCCAGAGATGTAGTTGCAAGTGCACAAGTTTGCGACTCAGTTTGAGAATGTTTGTTGGAATGACAGATTTGGGAAACGTCAAATCAACAAATGATGTTTGTAATGACACAACACTTGCGACCTTAGTTGGCTAACGATGGTTTTCGGAAACGCACCCCTGGACAATTGTACAGTAAGAGTGTTTTAATGAAGACTAATCAAGGCTGTTGTGTTCTTTTGCAGGAAGACGGCCAGAGACCCAGCCAGACTGGAGGAGATGAACATCACACACCTCCTGAACGCTGCACCAGAGCTGGACAATGAAACATCCAAAAATGAATGGGAAAAGGTTTACAAAGACATGAACATCACTTCCCTCAGACTGTCTGCAGACGATGATGGATGGTTTGATGTCACCAAACACTTTTTCCCAGCGGCAGACTTCATTCATACAGCCCTGAGCAAACCACAGAGTAAGAGTTCACTTCCACACACAAACTGAACCAACATTGTGTTGTACACTGCCAAATTGTTGAGTTTGTTTTCAGCGAATGCTGCTTTGTTTTTTGGGAATTGTGAGGACATTTCATAGGTGTAAAGGTTTTTATACTGCGCATGAAACAAATACTACAGTAATTCAGGAGTACTATAGTGTATAGCAGTAAATACTGTGCTGTTTTTAAACTCTAACTATTGTAAAGTTCTTCACAGAATTAATCTGTTGTGGTGATTCTGTGGTACTAGAGTAATATAAAATAATAGTCGAAACTGCTGTTACACACACACACACACACACACACACTCACACACACACACACACACACACAAACACACACTCCAGATGAGCATTTCAGTATGTTTTATAGAAAGTGCACTTACCCAAACATTTCTGCATTTTTACAGCTCCAGTTCAATCATTTAGAGTCATTTTTATTATTAATATTCTTCCCTCGTCAGAAATGTTTGGGTTTACTATCCTTGTGGGGACAGTATTTATCCATCTCTCCATCTGTCCTACAGTGCTAAATGTGCTAGCGATACGTTTGTGTTGATCTTTCTCTCTTTGTTCCTGCAGATAAGGTGTTGGTGTGCTGCCTGCAGGGCGTCAGCCGCTCCGCCACACTTTTCCTGGCATATTTGATGATACACCACAACAAAACACCAGAGGACTCCATTGATCTGGTGACACACAAGAGATTTATCAGGCCAAGCAGAGACTTCTTGAGGAAATTAACAATCCTCGCTGAGCAGCGACACTTAATTGAAAGTGACGCAGCGAAGAACAGAAGCAACTCTGCTGCCGATAAACCAGACCCTGAAGTGGAGTCAGTTGATTCAGAGGAAATGTATGTTTGTGAGCCGTACGGTCTTAAACCAGTCATGAAGATTTCACACATACACAACCCTGAAGCCTGCTCCAAACTAGACAAGTGTGCTTTAAAGCCTGATCCAGAACCGGTCCCAGGTCCGAGCGGTTATAGACCCGAACCTAAGGCAGTTGATTCAGAGGAAATGTATGTTTGTGAGCCGTACGGTCTTAAACCAGTCACGAAGATTTCACACATACACGACCCTGAAGTCTACTCCAAACTGGATAAGTGTGCTTTAAAGCCCGATCCAGAACCGGTTCCAGGTCCGAGTGGTTATAGACCCGAACCTAAGGCAGTTGATTCAGAGGAAATGTATGTTTGTGAGCCGTACGGTCTTGAACCAGTCACGAAGATTTCACACATACACAAAACTGAAGCCTGCTCCAAACTGGACAAGTGTGCTTTAAAGCCCAATCCAGAACCGGTTACAGGTCCGAGCGGTTATAGACCCGAACCTAAGGCAGTTGATTCAAAGGAAATGTATGTTTGTGAGCCGTACGGTCTTAAACCAGTCACGAAGATTTCACACATACACAAAACTGAAGCCTGCTCCAAACTGGATAAGTGTGCTTTAAAGCCCGATCCAGAACCGGTTCCAGGTCCGAGCGGTTATAGACCCGAACCTAAGTCCGTTGATTCAGGGGAGCTGTGTGTCTCTGACTTGAGTGGTCCTCAACCACAACCTCAAATGGAAGAGAAGATTTCACTCTTGCATTTGCATTTCACCAAAAATATTTCCAACCTGGACAAGCAACAAATGGAGAGCAGTAAGAAATGGGTCTCCATCTGTAAAGTCTTCGACAACCTCTACGTTGGAAACTGGTAAGTCTGCAACACATTCATGATGTATAGTACGAAGCCATGTGATGCTTTAATAGGGTAATGGAGACAGTGTTGGGTAGGTTACTTCAAGAGAGTGATTACTTCAGAAGCTCTCCCTGTTCCACATTGTCTATTTGACATTCCAGCCTTTGTTCCCGGAAATAAAATATATTGTGGAGCTGGATTAGTGACAAATGAATGAGTTAATTCAGCTGAATATATTGTAAGAGGTTACTTAAGATACTTAAGAGGTTTCCTTTGACTCTCTATATGTTTCTGCATTGTACGCCCTTTTAGAAAGCTGATTAAAGTTGTTTGTGATCTTGTGCAGGATGAGGGCAATGGATAAAGATTCACTGAAGAGGAGAGGAATTACACACGTCCTGAACACTTTACCCATTTTGGCAAATCAAGATGCATTGAGGAGGAAACAGGCCAAGCTGTACGAAACAATGAACATCTCCTACCACAACGTGTTTTCAAGAGACGATGACCCGTTTAACTTTAGCTGCCATATCTACCGAGTGGCAGAACTCATGCACAAGATTCTGAGCAACCCAGAGAGTAAGAACACACAAACACACACACACACACACACACACACACACACACACACACACACACACACACACATACACACACACACACACACACACACACACACACACACACACACACAGTGTATTAATATCATGTTCTAGTGTGTTCAATTGTTTTGTGTCTTTCTTTTCTCAGATCAGCTGCTGGTGCAGGATCAACAGGGTTCGAGGCACGCCTGCTTTTTTGTGGTGCCATATCTGATGATATACCACGGAAAAACATTGACGAAGGCCATTGACCATATGATAAACCGTAAAAACATCAGAATGAGCAGGGACCTCCTGACGCAGCTAGTCGTCTTCGCTTGTCACCACAATCAGCCGCAACAGCCGGGTTTGATGCCGGAGTTTTCATCTGTCGACATAAACCACCCTCAGATCATTTCCCAAATGTACCTTCGTATCGTCAAACCCTTCCAGTACTGGACTCCTGTCAGTGAAGTCTGGCCCAATGTCTTCATAGCTGACGAGTAAGTCTACAACACACATATAACAGCAAAGCATACAGTCAAATAATGATGCAGGGTTTCACCCGGGCTTAATTCCCACAGCCATGGAGTTTTTAAAAGATCTATTGCAGACATTAAAAGTCAGGGTAAATGTTTTTAAGTCATGTTTTATCATGTTGTTGTGGTTTGGGTATTTCTCCCTGCCATTTTATTCCGCTTGTGAACCAGCAATCAAATTCAGTCCTCAAATTCAGACTGGTAAAATACTGTCTGAGGCTGGTTTTTGTTCGCTCAGTGCTCAGTCAGTTGTTGCGTCCCAATTCGCATACTTATACTACACCCTAAAAGTATGCAAGCTTTGGGACATACTACTTCCTCGTTCCTTGGTATCGAAACTTGTACCAAATATCGATATTTTTAACTTGTAGTATCGAAAATCATATAGTAGGGTATTGATGTTTTTCAAGGTATCGTATTAAAGTCTGAAATCCCAGTATCGTGACCACACTACTTCAAACTATTTGACTACAGATTTGAGGACAGATGGAGTAAAAAAAAGCACAAAATGCTGAAAACTGTTAGTTTGTGGATTTGTTTTACAATGTGGCCAAAATCTGCAAGAAAAATCTGCGTTATTTAAACAATAACAAGCTCCTGTAAACTTTGTTAAATTCAGCATTTGTAGATTTACAGAACTCCAGAGTGAGCGCTGTGTGTTCTTCATCGTGAATTCAGCTTTTCAGTCAGTGAAAGTGAAGGGAAATTGATGATGTTGTTGTGTTCTTGTGCAGGAAAACAGCGAGGAACAAAGCCAAACTGAAAAAGATGAACATCACGCACATTGTGAACGCTGTGCCGTTGTCCTTAGAGGAAGAGAAATGGAAGGACTACTACCAGAAGAAGAACATCACTTACTACAATGTGCGTTCAGGATTCGGAGTCCAGGGCTGGAAAAACATGGCACAGTTCTTTTCACCAGCAGCAGAATTCCTACACAAGGCCCTGAGTGACACAAAGAGTAAGAGTTGACACACACACACACACATGCAATATTCATCTGCAGTTGAAGCAGAATTATTAGCCCCCCTGAGTTATTAGCCCCCCTGTATATTCCTGTTATTTCTGTTAACAGAAAGCAGATTTTTTCAGCACATTTCTCAACATAATAGTTCTAATAACTGAATAATTGTGACTTCAGCTGTGTTGTTAGTTGAATGAGTTTGTTTTGACCGTCTTTTTTTCTGCATTTCCTCAGATAAGGTGTTGCTGTACTGCAGCGAGGGCTCAGACCAGTCCATCGTGCTTTTTATGGCATATCTGATGATCCACCAGCGCATGAAGCTGGAAGAAGCATTCGAGTTTGTGTTGGAGAGAAGATGCATGTGGATAAGCAGGGACTACTTGAACCAGCTGGTGATGTTGAATCTGGACCTCGCAAAGCTTCGCAAATTGAACAAGTGTAGACCCTGCTGCACAGCCTGCTACGAAGCTATCTTGCGACTTAATCTAACGTAACATGCAGTATGTAAATATGTAAATATGGTGTTGACATGTCTGTTTGTCTTCTGTTCATGTGCATTGTGAGAAAAATAAAGAAATATTTGCTTCAATTGTGTTTCTGACCAGTTTTCAGCTGACAAAGTTCAACGAGAAGATTATGGAGACTTAATTACTGCATAATTACAAATATAGAGTATACTTACTCATGAGTAAAATAGCTTACTCAGCATTTATATACAGGTCTCATTGCGTTTAAATGAGTGCTCTCAGTCTTGTAATGAGGCAATAAAACAACATTATCTCACTTTGGGTCTGGTTCTGAATTTAAAAGAGCATTCTGGGTTAATTTAATCAATATCATCTGTTAAAACTATTCTGAAATGAAAATGAACAACATATTTGTAATGAGCGTGTGTATCATGAGTACAGAAATCCTCCGAACAGTAGTTTTGTCAAGTACTAAATAACTACAGTGAGCTTCTGAAGTCATTTAGTCCAGGGGTGTCCAAACTCGGTCCTGGAGGGCCACTATCCTGCATAGTTCAGTTACAATTTGCTTCGACACACCTGCCTGGACGTTTCTATTATATGTAGTGAGAGCTTGATTAGCTGCTCCAGGTGTGTTTGATTAGGGTAACTAATAAGCTAAACTCTCCAGGACCGAGTTTGGACACTTCTGATTTAGACTATATTAGGTTACTCAGGTCAGTCTCTCCTGTAACACTGTTTGATACATAAGATGTCAATGATGCGGTATCCTTTCCAAAGTCCATATTGAGTCTTTAAAAGTGAATATTAATATCTAGAAATTTCAAATATGTTATTACACACCGGCCACTTTATTAGGTACAATTTACTAGTACCGGGTTGGACCCCCTTTTGCCTTCAGAACTGCCTTAATCCTTGGTGCCATGGATTCAACAAGGTACTGGAAATATTCCTCAGACATTTCTTGGCTTTCAGGTCCAAGTGCTAGATCAAACTGTATGGGGAGACTCATCAAATGGTAATAATAAACGTTTACAAGCGATGTAACACTTTCGAAAATCATGATCGCAATATATATATATATAACCATGCCTATCCGATAGCCAGAAAGTGATTATTGTTTTGCAAGCAAGTCCAGAGACTGTCGTGTACACCATGATGTTATATAAAATTCACTTTAAAGTGTGATATGTTTTTACGTTACTTTAACTCATTTTAATAGGTTAAATAGATTTCAACACGTGTTATGTTACATTAACTCATTTTAATAAGTAAATCAGGTTTCAACAGATGTTTTTACATTAATTTAACTAATTTTAATAAGTTAATTAGATTTCTAAACTTTCCTTCTGTTTTCAGATCTATTATTTCCTCCAAATCCACACTATCTTCTTCTACCATTCCAGAGTAAAATATGTCCCTCAATCCACAATCAGATCATACTAATGCAATGTGTTGTTGTATTCTGAAAGCAAGTGCAGTTAAAATTGATTTTCCATTTATTCTCGATAATATGAACTAGGCTAGTTGAGATTATACTTAAGAAGTTCAACAAGCCTTCAAAATAAAAGGCCCAGCCCTTGATGATAAACGCAATAGATATAAATACACTAGAAATCGCATACGGATGCTGAACATGCGTCAATAGCGCCACCATATTTGTACAGTGCTCCCATGTTAATCAACCGAAGTAGTCAAGACTTAGACAAAGCTTTGTTAAAGATGAACCGTCTTTATGGTTTAGCATCCCTTTTCATATTGTTTAAAGAATGGGAGGAATTTCTTTTCTTCTATTTTGACTTACCTAATTGCCATTTAAAGTGTTACTATATTGGAAAATGTTGTACAAGCACAATTTTACTCCACATAATGTTATCATTTGGAATAACAGGTGTATTTTACATAAGAGGAAATCATTTTTTAAAGACTGATTTGACAAATGAGTGTGGAATGTAATTCATTTAATGGATGATGACGGTAATATGTTGAGTTATGATCATTTTAAGTTAAAATTCAATTTTAATTGTGCATATAGAGAATTCTCTTTGGTTGTCAAAGCTATTCCTGTAGCTTTGAGGTATTTAGTTAAAGGTATAGTGCAATGCTCTTCTGTAATACCTACACTAGTTGATTTGGTTATAAATAATTATTCATTTTTGGATATTAAATGTAACAACAAGGTCTTGAGATCACTACTGACAAAAGAATATTTTCCTCTTCCTGTTAAAAGAAAAGTTTATCTGAGAGATTTTCTAAAGCGGACACAGTTGAAATTAGAAAAAGATACCTGTCATTTCCCTAATTACCTAAAATGAAAGAAGTACAGTTGAAGTCAGAATTATTAGCCTCCCTGAATTATTACACCACTTGATCATTTTTCCCCAATTTCTGTTTGATGGTGAGGAGCTTTTTTCAACACATTTCTAAACATATTAGTTTTAATAAATCATCTCCAATCACTGATTTATTTTATCTTTGCCAAGATGACAGTAAATAATATTAGACTAGATATTTTTCAAGACACGTCTATACAGCTTAAAGTGACATTTAAAGGCTAAACTAGGTTAATTAGGTTAACTAGGCAGGTTAGGGTAATTAGGCAAGTTATTGTATAACGATGGTTTGTTTTGTAGACTTTCGAGAAAAAAAAATAGCTTAAAGGGGCTAATAATTTTGTCCCTAAAATGGTGTTAAAAAAATTAAAAACTGCTTTTTTTCTTGCCAAAATAAAACAAAACAGACTTTCTCCAGAAGCAAATATATTATCAGACCTACTGTGAAAATTTCATTGCTCTGTTAAACATAAATTGGGAAATATTTAAAAAAGAAAAAAAAATTTGAAGGGGGCGAATAATTCTGACTTTAACTGTACATTTCAAAACAATTAATGACATCTATCCATGTAACTAATTTCTTAGAATAAGATTTAATATAGACAGTAATGCTTGTATTTTCTGCTTGAAAGATATTGAATCCCAGGAACATCTTTTTTTTTTATAGTTGTTCTATTGTCAAATCCTTTTGGGACAGATTGTTTGAGTGGTTGATGACAAAAAATGTAATACCTGCGTTTGACTATCACATTGTGAAATTTGGCATTTTTATGAAAAACAAGGAAATTGAATTTCTGTGTAATAATATGTTGATTGTAGCAAAATGTTATATCCACAAATGTAGATTTGTTAAAGTTTCTCCTTGTTTCAAAGCATTTAAAATGATTTCAATATTTTATATTAATCTATAAAACAGGTAAAAACAAAAGGTGCCTTAAAGCTCTCTAAGCTTTTGTCAACTTGTATGGACTGACCCAGCTGAAGGTAATGCATTTCCTTTTATATTATTTAAGGTTTATGCATGTTATTAATAGTTTGTACTGTTTTGTTTATTTTATGCTGCTTGGATATAATGTTATATATGTTTAACAATGGAAGTTGAAAATATCTGTTTGTTATTTTAAGTTTAAATAAAAATAATTATAATAAAAAACACAAAAAAAATAGTCAAGACTTAGTTGACTAGTCAAGGCACCAGAGTGGACAAAAGTCAAGTGAACGCAGAGACTGAGGAAAACACAACCCAAAACCAGCCCTGTGTGAAAAGTGTTTGGCTCTAAACAGAACAACTGGTTGGGATAAGCTCAGTCAAGCATTTTCAAGCAGGGTATAATTATAATTTAGACCATATTTAATTCTCAACACATTTGTATAGGTATTCTTTTTAAATCACACTTGCATTGGTGTAAATTTGAAAATTACTTTAAGTTATATACTGTGTAAAAAAAAAACTTTAAAAACAATTTCAGACAAATGAAGTGTTGCATATTAATATTTATCTAACTTGTTAAATCAATATTGACAACTACTGTGAGAAATCATTAACATGATCAATGTCTTCACAAAGATCAATATTATTATTATTAATAATAACATATAATTAAAAGTATATTAAAATGTGTTATTTAATAACTGGTAGCCCTTTACACTAATCAGTACCCAAGAAGAAGCTCTCAGTTTCCAAAAGGCTGGTGACCAATGATTTAGACCATATTTTATTCTCAACACATTACTAAAGAGCAGTAATGAAGCTCTTCTCCACTTCAGTTAAAATGATATTTAACAAGACATCTCACATTTTAGTCTGTTATTATTAACCTGAGCAGAGGCTTGAAATGTTATGGACCTAATGTACGTTAATCTACCAGGGTTAATAACCCAACATCAATTAAAGCAATCTGAAACACAATTTATGAGTCAGGTCAAAGTGTATTATTATTCAGTCAGTTCACACACAGTCAGTGCGACATCACATTATCAATGAGAATTCTCAGAGGGAAAAATATTATTAGCATGCTGCAATATTAGCCTATCATATTATCCAACTCGGTGCACCATATTGTAGCTAGCGCTTTAACAAGTTACCAGAAAACATATATTATCACAATAATTGGGACTAAGAACGGCTGCTTTGGTGACTTTAACATTAAAGAGTATCTCGTATTATAGTGTGATGTAAAACTCGCTAAATTAATCGTCTGTAATGATGTATTTTGATGACAGATCGATCAGTGAATGGATGCATTTTTTAAAATGCGGGTCTCCGCCATGACGTAACTCCGTTGCTGTGGCAACCATGGAGCGCGTTCGGAATTTGAGTTCTACTGACTGTAACCGAGCGAAAAACGCCATTAGTGTGAAAATTGTCGTGTAGACTAAATGGACGCAGAGTTTCACCGTAGTAAAGAAATCCATACAGTTTGTCGACGCGTTTTTAACACAGTGTGTAAGAAAACAAATATCATGACTAACCTAATTAGAAGAAACGCCGTGATGCCGGCCTCGCTGGACGTCGAACATCTACAAGATCCAGCAGATGGCGTAGCCGGGCAGGCTCAGGCTGAGGGCGGCTTCGGCCCCTCTCCTGCTGCCGCCCGGAGCATCAGCCCTAACGGTAAATGTCGAAAAGAGCATCTTAAACACATTACTGCCACACATAAATACAAACACAGACTCTCTGAGCTGTATAAACTTCACTATAGGGCGTCTTATATGTTTAGTTAACACATTTGAACACATATATAGACTGTAGGTCGTCTTAATGGATGATAAAATACATGTAAACATCAATTATTCACTATATTTTTATAAATATCTTTAATTAATCATGTGTATTTTTATATCTGTGAAACCCAAACTTGAACTTGTTATAGAAATGTTGATGTTTGTATAGGAATATGAATGAAGGCCCAAAAGAGGCACAGTGATAGTACTAGTTTTATTTTAAAGTATAGTATTAAGTATATTAAGTATAGTATTAAGTATATTAAGTATAGTATTAAGTGTAGTGTTTATAAGTATGTCTGTAATGGTCTTGCCCTTGTTAGGTTTAAACATGCTAGGTCCAAACTAACACTGTACCCATCCTTCAAAATCACAGACAGTTTCAATATAAACATTCAAACAAACAAAACTGCAGATATTGTTTTTATCAAACTACATTCAGTCACTTTTGAGGCTTTTTTGGTGAAACACTGTTATTAACAGGTGCTTATTATTATGTACATATACTCATTTCAGACATGTCTTAATAACTTGTTTCTTTGTTTTTGTCTGTTAGTAGGAAAGACCAAAGTGAAGAAGAGCAACCGTGTGTTGTCTTTCTTCAGAAGGGCATGGAAGGCTGTGAAGGCAAAGTTTCGGAGAAACAGAGAAACCAGGGACTCATCACAGCCGAATCCAGAATTACTTGATGTCCCTAATCCCAGAGATCCTGAACGCATTACCCGCCTGCAGGACCGCCTGGAAAAATGCGCTCTGAAGTGGACACCGGTCACTGAGGTCTGGCCCAACGTCTTCATAGGAAATGTGTAAGTCTGCAACACACATCACATCTAAAGCAGTCCTGAAATGAGTAACAAATGTTGTGCGGTGCATGATTTAATAAATAATGGTAATGGTTTAAAAAATAAGAGCAAATTTAAATGTCATGGTGACTTTAATACCAATTGAACAGTAATTAATAGTAAAACATACTGCAGCCTTATGAAGACAAATCAAACACAGCGCAGTTGTAGACTGTATTGGGCAATCTGAGCTACTTCTTTAGAGATGAACCCCATTATTTCTTTGTGCAAATTATATTGTTTTGCACACACACACATTTTAGAAACAAATGCAATATTAATTTTGATAAAAACATGCACTGCTTATTCATATTAATTGAAAATATATGCAAATGGCACATATAGGGCCTGTGTTTCCATTACAAATATTATAGACAACATTACATTATCTACTCTCAAACATAAAATCACTTACAAAAGCGAAGACCTCTTCTAATCTCATATATAAATCATATAAATAAATAAATAATGAGGTGATTTATTAAGAAATGAAATTTAATATTTGTATGTATCAGGAAAAAAACGTTCTACTTCATTATTATTAATAATAAAAATAAGAATATTTTTATTTTATTATTTTAAAGTCTACTTTTAGATTTTGACACTTGTAAAACACTGCAGAAATGTTCTAACCATCAGGCCCATGTCAAATACAGTAAAGATACTTAACAAATAACCTACTCTAAATTAAAAGCATTAACGTATGCTATGTTTTTTTGTGTTCACTAGCTTTGGAGCAATAACAGTAAAAATATACTAGCTTTGGTTGTGTTCAAAATGACATCAATGTTTTCAAAGTGCACTGTGAAGGGAGCAATTGTAAACATGAAGATCGCTAAAACTAAACTGTAAAAATACTTTGAAAGCAAATTACAGCTAAGAGAGATGACCTTAATGCTTTTTTTAATAATTCCAAGTTTACATGTTAGAATGTTCTAAATGAATAGGGCATAGGGGGGATAACTGAAAATAGAACACAGCCAGGAACGGTTTCTAGCTACAGCTCCAGAGATGTAGTTGCAAGTGCACAAGTTTGCGACTCAGTTTGCGAATGTTTGTTGGAATGACAGATTTGGGAAACGTCAAATCAACAAATGATGTTTGTAATAACACAACACTTGCGACCTTAGTTGGCTAATGATGGTTTTCGGAAACGCACCCCTGGACAATTGTAGAGTAAGAGTGTTTTAATGAAGACTAATCAAGGCTGTTGTGTTCTTTTGCAGGAATACGGCCAGAGACCCAGCCAGACTGGAGGAGATGAACATCACACACCTCCTGAACGCTGCACCAGAGCTGGACAATGAAACATCCAAAAATGAATGGGAAAAGGTTTACAAAGACATGAACATCACTTCCCTCAGACTGTCTGCAGACGATGATGGATGGTTTGATGTCACCAGACACTTTTCCCCAGCGGCAGACTTCATTCATACAGCCCTGAGCAAACCACAGAGTAAGAGTTCACTTCCACACACAAACTGAACCAACATTGTGTTGTACACTGCCAAATTGTTGAGTTTGTTTTCAGCGAATGCTGGTTTGTCTTTTGGGAATTGTGAGGACATTTCATAGGTGTAAAGGTTTTTATACTGCGCATGAAACAAATACTACAGTAATTCAGGAGTACTATAGTGTATAGCAGTAAATACTGTGCTGTTTTTAAACTCTAACTATTGTAAAGTTCTTCACAGAATTAATCTGTTGTGGCGATTCTGTGGTACTACAGTAATATAAAATAATAGCTGAAACTGCTGTTACACACACACACACACACACACACACACACACTCCAGATGAGTATTTCAGTGTGTTTTATAGAAAGTGCACTTACCCAAACATTTCTGCATTTTTACAGCTCCAGTTCAATCATTTAGAGTCATTTTTATTATTAATATTCTTCCCTCGTCAGAAATGTCTGGGTTTACTATCTTTGTGGGGACAGTATTTATCTATCCATCTCTCCATCTGTCCTACAGTGCTAAATGTGCTAGCGATACGTTTGTGTTGATCTTTCTCTCTTTGTTCCTGCAGATAAGGTGTTGGTGTGCTGCCTGCAGGGCGTCAGCCGCTCCGCCACACTTTTCCTGGCATATTTGATGATACACCACAACAAAACACCAGAGGACTCCATTGATCTGGTGACACACAAGAGATTTATCAGGCCAAGCAGAGACTTCTTGAGGAAATTAACAATCCTCGCTGAGCAGCGACACTTAATTGAAAGTGACGCAGCGAAGAACAGAAGCAACTCTGCTGCCGATAAACCAGACCCTGAAGTGGAGTCAGTTGATTCAGAGGAAATGTATGTTTGTGAGCCGTACGGTCTTGAACCAGTCACGAAGATTTCACACATACACAACCCTGAAGCCTGCTCCAAACTAGACAAGTGTGCTTTAAAGCCTGATCCAGAACCGGTCCCAGGTCCGAGCGGTTATAGACCCGAACCTAAGGCCGTTGATTCAGAGGAAATGTATGTTTGTGAGCCGTACGGTCTTGAACCAGTCACGAAGATTTCACACATACACGACCCTGAAGTCTACTTCAAACTGGATAAGTGTGCTTTAAAGCCCGATCCAGAACCGGTTCCAGGTCCGAGCGGTTATAGACCCGAACCTAAGGCAGTTGATTCAGAGGAAATGTATGTTTGTGAGCCGTACGGTCTTAAACCAGTCACGAAGATTTCACACATACACGACCCTGAAGCCTGCTCCAAACTAGACGAGTGTGCTTTAAAGCCAGATCCAGAAGCGGTCCCTGGTCCGAGCGGTTATATACCCGAACCTAAGGCAGTTGATTCAGAGGAAATGTATGTTTGTGAGCCGTACGGTCTTGAACCAGTCACGATGATTTCACACATACACGACCCTGAAGTCTACTTCAAACTGGATAAGTGTGCTTTAAAGCCCAATCCAGAACCGGTCCCAGGTCCGAGCGGTTATAGACCCGAACCTAAGGCAGTTGATTCAGAGGAAATGTATGTTTGTGAGCCGTACGGTCTTGAACCAGTCACGGAGATTTCACACATACACGACCCTGAAGCCTGCTCCAAACTGGATAAGTGTGCTTTAAAGCCCAATCTAGAACCGGTCCCAGGTCCGAGCGGTTATATACCCGAACCTAAGGCCGGTGATTCAGGGGAGCTGTGTGTCTCTGACTTGAGTGGTCCTCAACCACAACCTCAAATGGAAGAGAAGATTTCACTCTTGCATTTGCATTTCACCCAAAATATTTCCAACCTGGACAAGCAACAATTGGAGAGCAGGAAGAAATGGGTCTCCATCTGTAAAGTCTTCGACAACCTCTACGTTGGAAGCTGGTAAGTCTGCAACACATTCATGATGTATAGTACAAAGCCATGTGATGCTTTAATAGGGTAATGGAGACAGTGTTGGGTAGGTTACTTCAAGAGAGTGATTACTTCAGAAGCTCTCCCTGTTCCACATTGTCTATTTGACATTCCAGCCTTTGTTGCCGGAAATAAAATATATTGTGGAGCTGGATTAGTGACAAATGAATGAGTTAATTCAGCTGAATATATTGTAAGAGGTTACTGAAGATACTTAAGAGGTTTCCCTTGAGTCTGTATATGTTTCTGCATTGTACGTCCTTTTAGAAAGCTGATGAAAGTTGTTTGTGATCTTGTGCAGGAAAAGGGCAATGGATATAGTTGCACTGAAGAGGAGAGGAATTACACACGTCCTGAACACTTTACCCATTTTGGCAAATCAAGATGCATTGAGGAGGAAACAGGCCAAGCTGTACGAAACAATGAACATCTCCTACCACAACGTGTTTTCAAGAGACGATGACCCGTTTGACTTTAGCTGCCATATCTACCGAGTGGCAGAACTCATGCACAAGATTCTGAGCAACCCAGAGAGTAAGAACACACACACACACACACACACACACACACACACACAGTGTATTAATATCATGTTCTAGTGTGTTCAATTGTTTTGTGTCTTTCTTTTCTCAGATCAGCTGCTGGTGCAAGATCAACAGGGTTCGAGGCACGCCTGCTTTTTCGTGGTGCCATATCTGATGATATACCACGGAAAAACATTGACGAAGGCCATTGACCATATGATAAACCGTAAACACATCAGAATGAGCAGGGACCTCCTGACGCAGCTAGTCGTCTTCGCTTGTCACCACAATCAGCAGCAACAGCCGGGTTTGATGCCGGAGTTTTCATCTATCGACATAAACCACCCTCAGATCATTTCCCAAATGTACCTTCGTACCGTCAAACCCTCCCAGTACTGGACTCCTGTCAGTGAAGTCTGGCCCAATGTCTTCATAGCTGACGAGTAAGTCTACAACACACACATATAACAGCAAAGCATTCAGTCAAATAATGATGCAGGGTTTCACCCGGGCTTAATTCCCACAGTCATGGAGTTTTTAAAAGATCTATTGCAGACATTAAAAGTCAGGGTAAATGTTTTTAAGTCATGTTTTATCATGTTGTTGTGGTTAGGGTATTTCTTCCTGCCATTTTATTCCGCTTGTCAATCAGCAATCAAATTCAGTCCTCAAATTCAGGCTGGTAAAATACTGTCTGAGGCTGCTTTTTGTTCGCTCAGTGCTCAGTCAGTTGTTGCGTCCTAATTCGTATACTTATACTACACCCTAAAAGTATGCAAGCTTTGGGACATACTACTTCCTCGTTCCTTGGTATCGAAACTTGTATCAAATATCAATATTTTTAACTTGTAGTATCGAAAATCATATAGTAGGGTATCGATGCTTGTCAAGGTATCGTATCAAAGTCTGAAATCCCAGTATCGTGACCACACTACTTCAAACTATTTGACTACAGATTTGAGGACAGATGGAGTAAAAAAAAGCACAAAATGCTGAAAACTGTCAGTTTGTGGATTTGTTTTACAACATGGCCAAAATCTGCAAGAAAAATCTGCGTTATTAAAACAATAACAAGCTCCTGTAAACTTTGTTAAATTCAGCATTTGTAGATTTACAGAACTCCAGAGTGAGCGCTGTGTGTTCTTCATCGTAAATTCAGCTTTTCAGTCAGTGAAAGTGAAGGGAAATTGATGATGTTGTTGTGTTCTTGTGCAGGAAAACAGCGAGGAACAAAGCCAAACTGAAAAAGATGAACATCACGCACATTGTGAACGCTGTGCCGTTGTCCTTAGAGGAAGAGGAATGGAAGGACTACTACCAGAAGAAGAACATCACTTACTACAATGTGCGTTCAGGACTCGGAGTCCAGGGCTGGCCAAACATGGCACAGTTCTTTTCACCAGCAGCAGAATTCCTACACAAGGCCCTGAGTGACACAAAGAGTAAGAGTTGACACACACACACACATGCAATATTCATCTGCAGTTGAAGCAGAATTATTAGCCCCCCTGAGTTATTAGCCCCCCTGTATATTCCTGTATATTCCTGTTAACAGAAAGCAGATTTTTTCAGCACATTTCCCAACATAATAGTTCTAATAACTGAATAATTGTATCTTCAGCTGTGTTGTTAGTTGAATGAGCTTGTTTTGACCGTCTTTTTTTCTGCATTTCCTCAGATAAGGTGTTGCTGTACTGCAGCGAGGGCTTAAACCAGTCCGTCGTGCTTTTTATGGCATATCTGATGATCCACCAGCGCATGAAGCTGGAAGAAGCATTCGAGTTTTTGTTGGAGAGGAGACGCATGTGGATAAGCAGGGACTACTTGAACCAGCTGGTGATGTTGAATCTGGACCTCACAAAGCTTCGCAAATTGAACGAGTGTAGACCCTGCTGCACAGCCTGCTACGAAGCTATCTTACGACTTAATCTAACGTAACATGCAGTATGTAAATATGTAAATATGGTGTTGACATGTCTGTTTGTCTTCTGTTCATGTGCATTGTGAGAAAAATAAAGAAAGATTTGCTTCAATTGTGTTTCTGACCAGTTATTCAGCTGACAAAGTTCAACCAGAAGATTATGGAGACTTAATTACTGCATAATTACAAATATAGAGTATACTTACTCATGAGTAAAATAGCTTACTCAGCATTTATATACAGGTCTCATTGCGTTTAAATGAGTTAGTTTAAACTCTCAGTCTTGTAATGAGGCAATAAAACAACATTATCTCACTTTGGGTCTGGTTCTGAATTTAAAAGAACATTCTGGGTTAATTTAATCAATATTATCTGTTAAAACTATTCTGAAATGAAAATGAACAACATATTTGTAATGAGCGTGTGTATCATGAGTACAGAAATCCTCCGAACAGTAGTTTTGTCAAGTACTAAATAACTACAGTGAGCTTCTGAAGTCATTTAGACCAGGGGTGTCCAAACTCGGTCCTGGTGGGCCACTATCCTGCATAGTTTAGTTACAATTTGCTTCGACACACCTGCCTGGAAGTTTCTATTATATGTAGTGAGAGCTTGATTAGCTGCTCCAGGTGTGTTTGATTAGGGTAACTTGGAGCTAAACTCTCCAGGACCGAGTTTGGACACTTCTGATTTAGACTATATTAGGTTACTCAGGTCAGTCTCTCCTGTAACACTGTTTGACACATAAGATGTCATTGATGCGGTATCCTTTCCAAAGTCCATATTGAGTCTTTAAAAGTGAATATTAATATCTAGAAATTTCAAATATGTTATTACACACCGGCCACTTTATTAGGTACAATTTACTGGTACCGGGTTGGACCCCCTTTTGCCTTCAGAACTGCCTTAATCCTTCATGCCATAGATTCAACAAGGTACTGGAAATATTCCTCAGACATTTCTTGGCTTTCAGGTCCAAGTGCTAGATCAAACTGTATGGGGAGACTCATCAAATGGTAATAATAAACGTTTACAAGCGATGTAATACTTTCGAAAATCATGATCGCAATATATATATATATATATAATCATGCCTATCCGATAGCCAGAAAGTGATTATTGTTCTGCAAGCAAGTCCAGAGACTGTCGTGTACACCATGATGTTATATAAAATTCACTTTAAAGTGTGATATGTTTTTACGTTACTTTAACTCATTTTAATAAGTTAATTAGATTTCTAAACTTTTCTTCTGTTTTCAGATCTATTATTTCCTCCAAATCCACACTATCTTCTTCTACCATTCCAGAGTAAAATATGTCCCTCAATCCACAATCAGATCAAACTAATGCAATGTGTTGTTGTATTCTGAAAGCAAGTGCAGTTAAAATTGATTTTCCATTTATTCTCGATAATATGAACTAGGCTAGTTGAGATTATACTTAAGAAGTTCAACGAGCCTTCAAAATAAAAGGCCCAGCACTTTTTGATAAACGCAATAGATATAAATACACTAGAAATCGCATACGGATGCTGAACATGCGTCAATAGCACCGCCATATTTGTACAGTGCTCCCATGTTAATCAACCGAAGTAGTCAAGACTTAGACAAAGCTTTGTTAAAGATGAACCGTCTTTATGGTTTAGCATCCCTTTTCATATTGTTTAAAGAATGGGAGGAATTTCTTTTTTTCTATTTTGACTTACTAAATTGCCATTTAAAGTGTATTGGAAAATGTTGTACAAGCACAATTTTACTCCACATAATTTTATCATTTGGAATAACAGATGTATTTTACATTAGAGGAAATCATTTTTTAAAGACTGATTTGACAAATGAGTGTGGAATGTAATTCATTTAATGGATGATGACGGTAATATGTTGAGTTATGATCATTTTAAGTTAAAATTCAATTTTAATTGTGCATATAGAGAATTCTCTTTGGTTGTCAAAGCTATTCCTGTAGCTTTGAGGTATTTAGTTCAAGGTATAGTGCAATGCTCTTCTGTAATACCTACACTAGTTGATTTGGTAATAAATAATTATTCATTTTTGGATATTAAATGTAACAACAAGGTCTTGAGATCACTACTGACAAAAGAATATTTTCCTCTTCCTGTTAAAAGAAAAGTTTATCTGAGAGATTTTCTTAAGCGGACACAATTGAAATTAGAAAAAGATACCTGTCATTTCCCTAATTACCTAAAATGAAAGAAGTACAGTTGAAGTCAGAATTATTAGCCTGCCTGAATTATTACACCACTTGATCATTTTTCCCCAATTTATGTTTGATGGTGAGGAGCTTTTTTCAACACATTTCTAAACATAATAGTTTTATAACCTCATCTCTAATCACTGATTTATTTTATGTTTGCCATGAAGACAGTAAATAATATTAGACTAGATATTTTTCAAGACACGTCTATACAGCTTAAAGTGGCATTTAAAGGCTAAACTAAGTTAATTAGGTTAATTAGGTTAACTAGGCAGGTTAGGGTAATTAGGCAAGTTATTGTATAACGATGGTTTGTTCTGTAGACTTTTGAGAAAAAAATAGCTTAAAGGGGCTAATAATTTTGTCCCTAAAATGGTGTTAAAAAAATTAAAAACTGCTTTTTTCTTGTCAAAATAAAACAAAACAGACTTTCTGCAGAAGAAAATATATTATCAGAAATACTTTGAAAATTTCATTGCTCAGTTAAACGTAAATTGGGAAATATTTAAAAAAGAAAAAAAATTCGAAGGGGGCGAATAATTCTGACTTTAACTGTCCATTTCAAAACAATTAATGACATCTATCCATGTAACGAATTTTTAGAATAAGATTTAATTTAGACAGTAATGCTTGTATTTTCTGCTTGAAAGATATTGAATCCCAGGAACATCTTTTTTTTATAGTTGTTCCATTGTCAAATCCTTTTGAGACAGATTGTATGAGTGATCGATAACAAAAAATGTAATACCTGCGTTTGACTATCACATTGTGAAATTTGGCATTTTTATGAAAAACAAGGAAATTGAATTTCTGTGTAATAATATGTTGATTGTAGCAAAACTTTATATCCACAAATGTACATTTGTTAAAGTTTCTCCTTGTTTTAAAGCATTTAAAATGATTTCAATATTTTATATAAATCTATAAAACAGGTAAAAACAAAAGGTGCCTTAAAGCTCTCTAAGCTTTTGTCAACTTGTATGGACTGACCCAGCTGAAGGTAATGCATTTCCTTTTATATTATTTAAGGTTTATTCATGTTATTATTAGTTTGTACTGTTTTGTTTATTTTATGCTGCTTGGATATAATGTTATATATGTTTAACAATGGAAGTTGAAAATATCTGTTTGTTATTTTAAGTTTAAATAATTTTTTTTTTTTTTAAACACACACACAAATAAAAAAAAAATAGTCAAGACTTAGTTGACTATTCACGGCACCAGAGTGGACAAAAGTCAAGCGAACGCAGAGACTGAGGAAAACACAACCCAAAACCAGCCCTGTGTGAAAAGTGTTTGGCTCTAAACAGAACAACTGATTGGGTTAAGCTCAGTCAAGCATTTTCAAGCAAGGTATAATTATAATTTAGACCATATTTTATTCTCAACACATTTGTATAGGTATTCTTTTTAAATCACACTTGCATTGGTGTAAATTAGAAAATTACTTTAAGTTATATACTGTGTAAAAAAAAAACTTTAAAAACAATTTCAGACAAATGAAGTGTTGCATATTGCTATTTATCTAACTTGTTAAATCATTGTTGACAACTACTGTGAGAAATCATTAACATGATCAATGTCTTCACAAAGATCAATATTATTATTAATAATAACATATAATTAAAAGTATATTAAATGTGTTATTTAATAACTGGTAGCCCTTTACACTAATCAGTACCCAAGAAGAAGCTCTCAGTTTCCAAAAGGCTGGTGACCAATGATTTAGACCATATTTTATTCTCAACACATTACTAAAGAGCAGTAATGAAGCTCTTCTCCACTTCAGTTAAAATGATATTTAACAAGACATCTCACATTTTAGTCTGTTATTATTAACCTGAGCAGAGGCTTGAAATGTAATGGACCTAATGTACGTTAATCTACCAGAGTTAATAACCCAACATCCATTAAAGCAATCTGAAACACAATTTATGAGTCAGGTCAAAGTGTATTATTATTCAGTTAATTCACACACAGTCAGTGCGACATCACATTATCAAAGAGAATTCTCAAAGGGAAAAAAATTATTAGCATGCTGCAATATTAGCCTATCATATTATCCAACTCGGTGCACCATATTGTAGCTAGCGCTAGCTAATTCACTTTAGCAAGTTAGCAGAAAACATATATTATTACAATAATTGGGACTAAGAACGGCTGCTTTGGTGACTTTAACATTAAAGAGTATCTCGTATTATAGTGTGATGTAAAACTCGCTAAATTGATCGTCTGTAATGATGTATTTTGATGACAGATCGATCAGTGAATGGATGCATTTTTTAAAATGCGGGTCTCCGCCATGACGTAACTCCGTTGCTGTGGCAACCATGGAGCGCGTTCGGAATTTGAGTTCTACTGACTGTAACCGAGCGAAAAACGCCATTAGTGTGAAAATTGTCGTGTAGACTAAATGGACGCAGAGTTTCACCGTAGTGAAGAAATCCATACAGTTTGTCGACGCGTTTTTAACACAGTGTGTAAGAAAACAAATATCATGACTAACCTAATTAGAAGAAACGCCGTGATGCCGGCCTCGCTGGACGTCGAACATCTACAAGATCCAGCAGATGGCGTAGCCGGGCAGGCTCAGGCTGAGGGCGGCTTCGGCCCCTCTCCTGCTGCCGCCCGGAGCATCAGCCCTAACGGTAAATGTCGAAAAGAGCATCTTAAACACATTACTGTCACACATAAATACAAACACAGACTCTCTGAGCTGTATAAACTTCACTACAGGGCGTCTTATATGTTTAGTTAACACATTTGAACACATATATAGACTGTAGGTCGTCTTAATGGATGATAAAATACATGTAAACGTCAATTATTCACTATATTTTGAAATATCTTTAATTAATCATGTGTAGTTTTTATATCTGTGAAACCCAAACTTGAACTTGTTATAGAAATGTAGATGTTTGTATAGGAATATAAATGAAGGCCCAAAAGAGGCACAGCAATAGTACTAGTTTTATTTTAAAGTATATTAAGTATAGTATTAAGTATATTAAGTATAGTATTAAGTAAAGTGTTTATAAGTATGTCTGTAATGGTCTTGCCCTTGTTAGGTTTAATCATGCTAGGTCCAAACTAACACTGTACCCTTCCTTCAAAATCACAGACAGTTTCAATATAAACATTCAAACAAACAAAACTGCAGATATTGTTTTTATCAAACTACATTCAGTCACTTTTGAGGCTTTTTTGGTGAAACACTGTTATTAACAGGTGCTTATTATTATGTTCATATACTCATTTCAGACATGTCTTAATAACTTGTTTCTTTGTTTTTGTCTGTTAGTAGGAAAGACCAAAGTGAAGAAGAGCAACCGTGTGTTGTCTTTCTTCAGAAGGGCATGGAAGGCTGTGAAGGCAAAGTTTCGGAGAAACAGAGAAACCAGGGACTCATCACAGCCGAATCCAGAATTACTTGATGTCCCTAATCCCAGAGATCCTGAACGCATTACCCGCCTGCAGGACCGCCTGGAAAAATGCGCTCTGAAGTGGACACCGGTCACTGAGGTCTGGCCCAACGTCTTCATAGGAAATGTGTAAGTCTGCAACACACATCACATCTGAAGCGGTCCTGAAATGAGTAACAAATGTTGTGCGGTGCATGATTTAATAAATAATGGTAATAGTTTAAAAAATAAGAGCAAATTTAAATGTCATGGTGACTTTAATACCAATTAAACAGTAATTAATAGTAAAACATACTGCAGCCTTATGAAGACAAATCAAACACAGCTCAGTTGTAGACTGTATTGGGCAATCTGAGCTACTTCTTAAGAGATGAACCCCATTATTTCTCTCACACACACATTTCAGAAAAAAATGCAATATTAATTTTAATCAAAACTAGCTTTGGTTGTGTTCAAAATGACATCAATGTTTTCAAAGTGCACTGTGAAGGGAGCAATTGTAAACATGAAGATCGCTAAAACTGAACTGTAAAAATACTTTGAAAGCAAATTACAGCTAAGAGAGATGACCTTAATGCTTTTTTAATAATTCCAAGTTTACATGTTAGAATGTTCTAAATGAATAGGGCATAGGGGGGATAACTGAAAATAGAACACAGCCAGGAACGGTTTCTAGCTACAGCTCCAGAGATGTAGTTGCAAGTGCACAAGTTTGCGAATCAGTTTGCGAATGTTTGTTGGAATGACAGATTTGGGAAACGTCAAATCAACAAATGATGTTTGTAATAACACACTTGCGACCTTAGTTGGCTAACGATGGTTTTCGGAAACGCACCCCTGGACAATTGTAGAGTAAGAGTGTTTTAATGAAGACTAATCAAGGCTGTTGTGTTCTTTTGCAGGAATACGGCCAGAGACCCAGCCAGACTGGAGGAGATGAACATCACACACCTCCTGAACGCTGCACCAGAGCTGGAGAATGAAACATCCAAAAATGAATGGGAAAAGGTTTACAAAGACATGAACATCACTTCCCTCAGACTGTCTGCAGACGATGATGGATGGTTTGATGTCACCAGACACTTTTTCCCAGCGGCAGACTTCATTCATACAGCCCTGAGCAAACCACAGAGTAAGAGTTCACTTCCACACACAAACTGAACCAACATTGTGTTGTACACTGCCAAATTGTTGAGTTTGTTTTCAGCGAATGCTGGTTTGTTTTTTGGCAATTGTGAGGACATTTCATAGGTGTAAAGGCTTTTATACTGCGCATGAAACAAATACTACAGTAATTCAGGAGTACTATAGTGTATAGCAGTAAATACTGTGCTGTTTTTAAACTCTAACTATTGTAAAGTTCTTCACAGAATTAATCTGTTTGGTGATTCTGTGGTACTACAGTAATATAAAATAATAGTCGAAACTGCTGTTTTCTACACTTATATGGTCTATTATGCAACAATACAGCAGAGTTTACTGAAGTGAAAACTCAACATTACTCTGTAAACAGTTAAGTACACTAGAGTATTTATCAGAGTCTCTCCAGTCACTGTCATTAGTGCGGTAGTGCGCTGGAGCTCTCATTAAACTGTTGTAAATACTATATTTACAGTAGAACAATGGAAGAGTTTCATAAAACTGTGTTTTCTATTTCTTGCACCCAAACACTTACAGTAAACAGCATATTTACTTTCTCTACAAAACAACAGCTAATTCTGTATGATTGATTAGCTTTTGGAAAAACTGGGGATATAGAGCAATGTCACGCGCACACACACACACACACACACACACACACACACGAATACAATACAGAACTTAACGTACAATTTGTTTCTTTAAGTCATAAAAGTTTATTAATAACCTCCAATAACACTCCAGATGAGCATTTCAGTGTGTTTTATAGAAAGTGCACTTACCCAAACATTTCTGCATTTTTACAGCTCCAGTTTAATCATTTAGAGCAATTTTTATTATTAATATTCTTCCCTCGTCAGAAATTTCTGGGTTTACTATCCTTGTGGGGACAGTATTTATCTATCTATCCATCTCTCCATCTGTCCTACAGTGCTAAATGTGCTAGCGATACGTTTGTGTTGATCTTTCTCTCTTTGTTCCTGCAGATAAGGTGTTGGTGTGCTGCCTGCAGGGCGTCAGCCGCTCCGCCACACTTTTCCTGGCATATTTGATGATACACCACAACAAAACACCAGAGGACTCCATTGATCTGGTGACACACAAGAGATTTATCAGGCCAAGCAGAGACTTCTTGAGGAAATTAACAATCCTCGCTGAGCAGCGACACTTAATTGAAAGTGACGCAGCGAAGAACAGAAGCAACTCTGCTGCCGATAAACCAGACCCTGAAGTGGAGTCAGTTGATTCAGAGGAAATGTATGTTTGTGAGCCGTACGGTCTTAAACCAGTCACGAAGATTTCACACATACACAACCCTGAAGCCTGCTCCAAACTAGACAAGTGTGCTTTAAAGCCTGATCCAGAACCGGTCCCAGGTCCGAGCGGTTATAGACCCGAACCTAAGGCAGTTGATTCAGAGGAAATGTATGTTTGTGAGCCGTACGGTCTTGAACCAGTCACGAAGATTTCACACATACACGACCCTGAAGTCTACTCCAAACTGGACAAGTGTGCTTTAAAGCCCTATCCAGAACCGGTCCCAGGTCCGAGTGGTTATAGACCCGAACCTAAGGCAGTTGATTCAGAGGAAATGTATGTTTGTGAGCCGTACGGTCTTGAACCAGTCACGAAGATTTCACACATACACGACCCTGAAGTCTACTCCAAACTGGATAAGTGTGCTTTAAAGCCTGATCCAGAACCGGTCCCAGGTCAGAGCGGTTATAGACCCGAACCTAAGGCAGTTGATTCAGAGGAAATGTATGTTTGTGAGCCGTACGGTCTTGAACCAGTCACGAAGATTTCACACATACACGACCCTGAAATCTACTCCAAACTGGATAAGTGTGCTTTAAAGCCCGATCCAGAACCGGTTCCAGGTCCGAGCGGTTATAGACCCGAACCTAAGGCAGTTGATTCAGAGGAAATGTATGTTTGTGAGCCGTACGGTCTTAAACCAGTCACGAAGATTTCACACATACACAAAACTGAAGCCTGCTCCAAACTGGATAAGTGTGCTTTAAAGCCCTATCCAGAACCGGTCCCAGGTCCGAGCGGTTATATACCCGAACCTAAGGCCGTTGATTCAGGGGAGCTGTGTGTCTCTGACTTGAGTGGTCCTCAACCACAACCTCAAATGGAAGAGAAGATTTCACTCTTGCATTTGCATTTCACCCAAAATATTTCCAACCTGGACAAGCAACAATTGGAGAGCAGGAAGAAATGGGTCTCCATCTGTAAAGTCTTCGACAACCTCTACGTTGGAAGCTGGTAAGTCTGCAACACATTCATGATGTATAGTACAAAGTCATGTGATGCTTTAAATGGGTAATGGAGACAGTGTTGGGTAGGTTACTTCAAGAGAGTGATTACTTCAGAAGCTCTCCCTGTCCCACATTGTCTATTTGACATTCCAGCCTTTGTTGCCGGAAATAAAATATATTGTGGAGCTGGATTAGTGACAAATGAATGAGTTAATTCAGCTGAATATATTGTAAGAGGTTACTGAAGATACTTAAGAGGTTTCCTTTGAGTCTGTATATGTTTCTGCATTGTAAGTCCGTATAGAAAGCTGATGAAAGTTGTTTGTGATTTTGTGCAGGAAAAGGGCAATGGATATAGTTGCACTGAAGAGGAGAGGAATTACACACGTCCTGAACACTTTACCCATTTTGGCAAATCAAGATACATTGAGGAGGAAACAGGCCAAGCTGTACGAGACAATGAACATCTCCTACCACAACGTGTTTTCAAGAGACGATGACCCGTTTAACTTTAGCTGTCATATCTACAGAGTGGCAGAACTCATGCACAAGATTCTGAGCAACCCAGAGAGTAAGAACACACACACACACACACACACAAACACACACAAACACACACACACACACACACAGTGTATTAATATCATGTTCTAGTGTGTTCAATTGTTTTGTGTCTTTCTTTTCTCAGATCAGCTGCTGGTGCAGGATCAACAGGGTTCGAGGCACGCCTGCTTTTTCGTGGTGCCATATCTGATGATATACCACGGAAAAACATTGACGAAGGCCATTAGCCATATGATAAATCGTAAACACATCAGAATGAGCAGGGACCTCCTGACGCAGCTAGTCGTCTTCGCTTGTCACCACAATCAGCAGCAACAGCCGGGTTTGATGCCGGAGTTTTCATCGGTCGACATAAACCACCCTCAGATCATTTCCCAAATGTACCTTCGTACCGTCAAACCCTCCCAGTACTGGACTCCTGTCAGTGAAGTCTGGCCCAATGTCTTCATAGCTGACGAGTAAGTCTACAACACACATATAACAGCAAAGCATACAGTCAAATAATGATGCAGGGTTTCACCCGGGCTTAATTCCCACAGTTATGGAGTTTTTAAAAGATCTATTGCAGACATTAAAAGTCAGGGTAAATGTTTTTAAGTCATGTTTTATCATGTTGTTGTGGTTAGGGTATTTCTCCCAGCCATTTTATTCCGCTTGTCAACCTGCAATCAAATTCAGTCCTCAAATTCAGGCTGGTAAAATACTGTCTGAGGCTGGTTTTTGTTCGCTCAGTGCTCAGTCAGTTGTTGCGTCCCAATTCGCATACTTATACTACACCCTAAAAGTATGCAAGCTTTGGGACATACTACTTCCTCGTTCCTTGGTATCGAAACTTGTACCAAATATCGATATTTTTAACTTGTAGTATCGAAAATCATATAGTAGGGTATCGATGTTTGTCAAGGTATCATATCAAAGTCTGAAATCCCAGTATCGTGACCACACTACTTCAAACTATTTGACTACAGATTTGAGGACAGATGGAGTAAAAAAAGCACAAAATGCTGAAAACTGTTCAGAATCTGCGTTATTAAAAAATAACAAGCTCCTGTAAACTTTGTTAAATTCAGCATTTGTAGATTTACAGAACTCCAGAGTGAGCGCTGTGTGTTCTTCATTGTAAATTCAGCTTTTCAGTCAGTGAAAGTGAAGGGAAATTGAGGATGTTGTTGTGTTCTTGTGCAGGAAAACAGCGAGGAACAAAGTCAAACTGAAAAAGATGAACATCACGCACATTGTGAACGCTGTGCCGTTGTCCTTAGAGGAAGAGGAATGGAAGGACTACTACCAGAAGAAGAACATCACTTACTACAATGTGCGTTCAGGATTCGGAGTCCAGGGCTGGCCAAACATAGCACAGTTCTTTTCACCAGCAGCAGAATTCCTACACAAGGCCCTGAGTGACACAAAGAGTAAGAGTTGACACACACACACACATGCAATATTCATCTGCTGTTGAAGCAGAATTATTAGCCCCCCTGAGTTATTAGCCCCCCTGTATATTCCTGT